AAACCATTTCAGGTGACTACCTCTTGAAGCTCATGGAGAGAATGCCAAGAGTGTGCAAAGCAGTAATCAGAGCAAAGGGTGGCTATTTTGAAGAAACTAGAATATAAAACATGTTTTCAGTTATTTCACCTTTTTTTGTTAAGTACATAACTCCACATGTGTTCATTCATAGTTTTGATGCCTTCAGTGAGAATCTACAACGTAAATAGTCATGAAAATAAAGAAAATGCATTGAATGAGAAGGTGTGTCCAAACTTTTGGCCTGTACTGTATATTTTACATTTTTTATTCCCTTTTGGTTTGTATTTATGTATGTGAAACAAATACATTAAATAAAAAAAAATCAAATAATTCAACAATATATTTCATGTAAAAAGAAAAATATATTTTTAAATGTACTACATTTTGTTAGTTTTGCACTCCATACTTCAAGAGATAAAAATAAAGTGAAAAGTAAAAAGGCTTTCACAGTTATCTTAATGTCAAACACAGCTACAAATGTCACAGAAGTTAAATGTTATTAGTAATTAATTACACAATTTTTGACTTTAGGGGAGCAGATAGAAAATTTTTTCATTACTAATTAATAAGACAGTTATTTTCTTGATTAAACTATTCATGGTTTGGTCTAAAAATGTAGGCAAAAAACAGAAAAATTCTGATTACAAGCACTCAGGACTAAAGTGAGGCCAGAACACTAATCAGACTAAATAATGTTCCGGCCATGAGTAACTTTGTGCCCAGTTTTTTTTAACCTTATTTTGCTGAATTTTACAAAAAGAACCTGGTGATTTTTATTCCATTTTCCAGTAAAAGAAACTGTCTGTCTGCTGAATAAACTAAATAAAGGAAAAGAAGGCCGCAGACCATCAGTGCAGAAGTGAAACTGTGCTCAGGGAACAGAAAACACTAATTTGTCCTGATTATGAAAGAATATAGACAGAAGTATATCTTTATTCAGGTAACAGAAAGCACCAGTTTACCCTGATTATGAAAAAATACGGACATTTACAGCAACATATTTACATATATTCATGATAACATGAGAGACAGACCTTATGATGTCATCTACTTTCAATCCCGAGGTCCAGCATTAGCCATAGGTGTTGATTTCGGGGGGACACGTCACTGTCAGTGTTAAGAACATGCATTTGTCCCTGCTAATAAAACCATTAAAGGTACTTTGATTCTGATGTAATATAAGACATTTCCAACATAAATCGGTGCTGAAAAATTCACCTGACTGCAGGAAATGAAGTGTTTGGTGCTTAAATTTCATACGTGTCCCCTGGTGTTGACAGAAAGCTACACCCTTGATGTGTACGGTGGTATAAAGAAGATTAAATGGAGATATTTTGACACTTATGTGACAATAAAGTACAAAAAGTTTAATGTGTGAAATGGTAGAACAGTGTTACAACATTTAAACTCTACATTAAGACATGCATGATTCCAGATGGAGACAGTTACATATTAAAAAGACAGAGTGTGCAATTAAAAACAATCCAAACAATCGTCACAGCAGTTCGTTAAACCAGCGAGATGAAGATTCATCCGCACGAGCAGTCGATTGCATTTGTGAAATTTACGCAGATGGCCGACAAACAGGAAGTCTGGCAGAAGGCTGATCAGACGCACAAACAGCGGAGGTAAACTTTGACAGAAATAATGCAGCATCTTTCATTTTTACGTTTCTAAGCTTCATCCATCTCCCACTGATTACATCATGCAAACATTCATAACGGATACCAGTGTCGTGTCATGAGATGAAGTGGCGAGCGTCAGCTACGATCACAGTGTCACACAGTGTATACAGAATATATATATACAGCTCTTTGCATATTAAGACCATTTATAAAGGAATAGTTTGATGTTTTTGGGTCGTTCGTTTATTTGCTTTTTGGCAGAGGGTGAGATGGGAAGTTGTACGGAGGCCTGTAAGTGCCAGTGTGATGACAAAAAGAAAGAAAGAAAAGAAACTTTCTCAAAGTATTGTTCCGATACTGTACGTGTCTAACAACCAATACCGAGTAGCAATTAAATTCTACTGTGTAAAAAAAAGTAACAGCTGTGTACTGTTAACGCTGAAACTAAACCCTCGTATACTGAACACGTTGCCTTTTTACTATAGAAAGTTTCCAGTTTGAAATTCTGCGAAAATTTCGGACATTTTGATAACAGTTAACGTTAAATTAATTACTGAAAACCAATTTGTTTCTCCGCTCTAAAACAGAAGTTGCCGGTGGCTGCACAGTGCAACTTGCTGTGTAGGCTTCTGTTTTAAAGCAGCAAAGAATTTATTTCCGAGGCAACTGCCATTTTATCTGCGTGTGCACTACTTTAAGTTCAGTGATAAATTAAATGGTATCAGAGCGGTGCTCAGACTGGCCCACTTGCTGATAACTGATCCAGCATTTTAGGGAGTATAAGAAGCATATCTGATACTGGTATCCGAACAACTTTACTTATCTCAAATAATGACTTAGTATGTCAAAATAACGAGAATGTTTCCCAAAATAATGACTTACAATTTAAAATAATGGGAAACTTTATGAGAATGATGAGAAAATATATCACAAATTATGACTTAATGTCTCAAACTAGTGAGAAAATTTCAAAATAATGACTTAGTATGTCAAATTAACGAGAATGTTTCCCAAAATAATGACTTACAATTTAAAATAGTGGGAAAGTTTCTGAGAATAATGAGAAATCTATCACAAATAATGACTTGGTGTCTCAAAATAGTGAGAAAGTTTCAAAATAATGACATAGTATGTCAAAATAATGAGAAAGTTTCTCAAAATAATGACTTAGAATTTAAAATAATGGGAAACTTTAACAAAATAATGACTTAGAATTTAAAATAATGGGAAACTTTAACAATATAATGACTTAGAATTTAAAATAATGGGAAACTTTCACTAAATAATGACTTAGCATGTCAAAATAACGAGAAAGTTTCTCAAAATAATGACTTAAAATTTGAAATAATGGGAAAGTTTCTGAGAGTAATGAGAAATCTATCACAAATAATGACTTAGTGTCTCAAAATAGTGAGAAAGTTTCAAAATAATGACTTAGTATGTCAAAATAATGAGAAAGTTTCTCAAAATAATGACTTACAATTTAAAATAATGGGAAACTTTAACAATATAATGACTTAGAATTTAAAATAATGACTTAGTAACTCAAAATAATGACAAATATTTATAAAATAATGAACTTTCTCAAATTAATGAGAAAGTTTCTCAAAATAATGATGTTAATATCTTAAAATAATGAGAAACTTTGACAATAACATATTTATTGCAAAATGACTTAGTATGAAAATAATGACACAGCTTCTTTTTTTAAATTAAATTCTGACTTTGTATTGTTCCTTGTTATTTAGAGATACTGAGTCATTGTTTCGAGGAAGTTTCTCATCATATTTACTCACAGGATTTATTTTTTTTATCACAGTGGCAGAAACAGGCTTCCATAAATATTGATACCACTTCTATATAATATAAAATGAAGCTAAATGCAGAAGACTGTTAGCTTAGCATACGGACTGGAAACATCAGGAAGTGTAAAGTATAAAAACATAAATTCCCTTTTATATTAAAGGTTATGTGCCATAGTATTTCTGTTTCAAAGAAAGAATGAGACATAATGTGCAAATAACTGAACTGTAGTGGTGTTCGTAGGCTGACTTTGTCTTCGTTGGACAGAGTCAGGCTAGCTGTTTCCCTCCCGCTTCTTGTATTAGTGCTAAGCTAAGCTAACCGGCTCCTGGGTGTAGCTTTATAGTCATCTCCCAAACATGAGAGCGGTATCAGTTTTATCATCTCACTCTCCACCACAAAGCAAATTAGTGTTATTTCCCAAACTGTGGAATTATTCCTGTAGTGAAAAACATTTTACCACTTTGGTTCTTGTCGTTAAACAACACAGATACACAACACAGCTGATAAACAACAACAACAGCTGCTGAACAGATTTAAAAGACTCCCCAGTTAAATGTCACGTTCACCAGCAGCACTGCTCAGCCGGCAGCTTTAGTCCTGTGTTAGTGTTTTAGGTTTAGCCGAACCCGTCGTTCCACTCCATCACTTTATTGTATTCTTGGATCTTCTGTTTGATGTGCGACAGTTTGTTTTTCAGGTACTCACAGCGCTCCTTCTTCTCCAGGAAAGTCGGGTCCTGGTGAAGCAGAAACACAGAGAGGAATTTCATTAATGTTATATTTTCGGACAAAACCAGTAAATTATTATTATTTACTGTTTTATTTGAGCTGTTCAGGATCAGTTACTTATACGAAAACTATTTTACTTAAAGTATCCAGCACAGAAGATCTATACAATCAGCACAGTTTCAAGATTAGAGTCACCAATTCAGTATCTGACCAAATGTCTCCCCTTCTGTTCCTGAGATATGACGTTAAAACATGATGATGTCACAGTCAAGCTGACCTTTGACCTTTTGACCTTCATTATTTTATCCTGTTAGACATTTGTGTCAAGTTTTGTCAGAATTAGTGAATGAAATCTGAGTTATGGCCAAAAACATGTTTTGTGAGGTCACACTGATCTTTGACCACAAAATTCTAATCAGTTCATTTTGCAGTTCAAGTGGACGTTTGTGTCAAATTTAAAGAAATCCCCTCAAGGTGTTCTTGAGAGATTATGTCCACAAGAATGAGATGAGATACAAGGCCATTTTGACCTTGATCTTTGACTACCGAAATCTAATCAGTTCATCATTAAGTACAAGTGAAAGTTTGTGCCAAATTTGAAGAAATCACCTCAAAGTATTCTTGAGGTGTCACGTTCACAAGAATGAGACAGATCGCACAGGCCACACAGGCCTTGACCGTTGACCCATTACAACCAAAAACTAATCAGTTCATCGTTGAGTCCAAGTGGACATTTGTGCCGAATTTGAAGAACTTCCCTTTAGTGAACGGACATACGGATGGATGGACAGTGCCGGCTCGGAGGCACTAGCGTGTGAATTCCTGAGTCAAAAACATATTTTCTGAGGTCACACTGACCTTGACCTTTGACCTTCAACTACAAAATTCTTGTCAGTTAATTCTTCAGTCCAGGTGGACGTTTGTGCCAAATTTAAAGAAATTCTCTCAAGATATTATTACAGAACTAAGTGCACAAGAATTTGACAGCTGAGGTCACTTCAGCCTTGACCTTTGACCAACACAATCCAATCAGTTCTTTGTCCAGTCCACGTGGACATTTGTGCCAAATTTGAAAAAAATCTCTCAAAGCATTGTTGAGATATTTTGGGAACGGGAAGAACAAGAATGGGAAGGACGGATAACCCGAAAACATAATGCCTCTGGCCACAGCTGTCGCCGGCGCAGGAGCATGAGGACGCATTAGTGAGCCACACTGTGTCACTGGAGGCCATTTTGAGTCAATCCCACACACACCATCCTGCTAAAACAAACATTCACGAGAGCACCAAATGTGGATTAATCCGCCGCTGAAAATAGTCCCCAACAAAGTCACTAGTTCCTCCTATTCCTAAAAACTACAGCAACCAGCTGTTGTAGGAAACTCCTGGGCCTTCTTTTGAGAATGAAACTATAGTAGGAGCCTACAGGCTTAGAGCTGAGAGCCACAGACAAAGAAGGGAAATTAAAAACTAAACGTCGTCAGAAAGAGCCTCTGCTATAGAGTGTAAACAAAACATCAACAGGACAATAGGCTCACATTTTTCTTCCTCTGGTACTCCTGAAGGATCCTGTTGATGCGATCAACCTCCTGTAAGAAGAGAGAGAGTCTGTGTTAAACTTCTGCTGATGTGTTACAGAGTGAAAGGCAGGACAAACCTTTGACAAGTATTAAAATCAGGTGCAATGATCCTGAAAAATCTGGATGGAACAGGGAAGGAATTTGAGGGTGGAGGGGAAGTACAGCAGGAACAGGAAGTGCAAACAGAGGAAGTTATGAGACGGGGAAATGAGCCACATTTTAGCAACAGAAACACTGGGTGCAATATTCCAGACACACAATCAGTCACTGACCAACATGTTTCCACAGCGCTCTCATAACATGAAAATGAAGAGAAGCACAGTCAGACTGAAGGGACGATAACAGGCCAGTGTGCTGCGACAGTGTGATGGTGCTGCACTGCAAGTATCCGTGTGGTTGGTGAGGGTGTAGCTCCATCCTGAAAACCTTGGCTGCTTCCAAAATTCCATAGTAACATGCCCAGGAAACAGGATGTGAGATTTTCTAATATATCTGAAACCCATAGACCAGTGGTTCCCAACTGGTGGCGCGCAAATGGAGCTGAATGGACTGCAAGTGACTCATGAACGTGTCAAGTTTGTAAAAAACACACTTTATACTGAAGTACAGTGACTTTCCAGCACAGAGCTTTTATTTTGAAGCACCATTTCCTGCTGCAGAGAGAGTGACTAACACACAGCAGTCTAGCTCGATGACATGGCCGAACGTAAGTATGATGCTGAATATGAGCAGAAATCTGGACCCTATGTCTGGACTGTATGACATGATGGACGTAGCCACCGTGACGTCAGCCACTGGTTTGTTGACTCCTGTTTTGAAGCCTTGAGTTCGGCATTTTGGTCGCCACCATCCTGGATTTTTGTGCTGTTTATGTGTTATAGAGTCAGTTTAAAGTAAAATTTACTGCACTTATTATTTATGTGTTGTTTTTATCTTTTACGGCCAAAAGTAACAAATAAAGTGACGGCAGCTTCTTCTGTAACAGACTGTGTTAAATGAGCAGATAATATCATCTCATATAGATCGCAGACCCCATGAATCGTATCGAATCAAAATCATATCGTGGCATATTTTGTAATATCAGCAAATATCGTATTGTGATGAAACTGGTGATTTACACCCCTCGCTATCAGGTATCCCAGGTGTCTGTGGAGCTGAGGTTGGCACCAACTGCCGTGGTGACACGTCTCCAACCTGCAAGAAGGCTATCAGGAAGTGACGTGGTAATTAAAGCTCAGTGCGTCCAAGAAAACACACACTAGGCTGTGTACGGTATCTCCTTCCATACCTTCACACCTCCCTGATATTTCACTGCAGTATACGGAATATATGATATAATATATGATATACACGTATTTGTGTACAAAAATAAGTAAAAAATAAAAGCTGAGCTACTGGTGATAGAATTATTGTGGCTGTGTGTCAAATTCTCTGGCCTACAATGCTGTGTCTGTAACATGCAGTTAGCCTGCTTAGACAAGGCTCACTGGGCTTAAAGGGAAATTTCGGTTTATTTCAACCTATGTCACTAGTCACTTGAAACAAATTTAGGACGATAGGAGACAGGTTGAAATAAACCGAAATTTCCCTTTAAATACCATAATTAATAATTAACAGACAGGAAACAGGTGCTCTGACACTGTGGCTGAAACATTGCCGCTGTGGTAGACTCACAAGTCAGTCTTTAGACACTTTGCTTAACTAAAGACTGATGTCTTTCTCCCTGATTTTGTGTTTAGATGGGCGGATACAATTTCAGAGTTTAAAAAAACTCCCTACGTTGCAGAACCAATAGTAAATCTGCAGGGCGGTCCTTCAGCGGCTCGCTGAACTCTTGTGCTCGTAAACATAGTCCGACTGCGTTAAAAGTTTTAAACAAAGTCGCTGTAACTCCTTCATTTCCACAATCTTGTGGACTGAGAATATGTTTGATAAAACGGAGTTAAATCTCTCAGCATCCATTTTCAAGCTCTCTGTGTGTTTGTTTCCTTGCAGACGAGAAAAGGGGGAGCGCACATTTCCGGGAGGGCGTGTCCTTTTCAAAAATGCAAGAGGCGTTGCTTTGTTGCCGGCCGTTTTCTCAGGTGTGTTAAACACACTTTAGAAAGGAGTGTCCCCAGACTATCTGAAGGCGGAGATCTCTGGTGGTGAGACTACCGCTGTGGATAACGACACCTCAGTGGACTGAACGGAGATGATGTGTTGAATAAAATCATGTCACTCATACCACTATGTGGTTATAGTCTCAAACAGGGACAGAAGCTTTATATCTGTTTACTAGTCCTGTAACTTTATCCCACCACTTCCATCTTTTTCAGCTCACCTGTCTGTTCAGCCTGTACAGACTGACCTCTGGTGGCGCATGCTGTGCATTACAATACATCGCCTCAATACAGCATCTCCATATCAGTTAAATAGGAAGAGGAGTGTCTATATTTTTGACATGATTTAAAATCGTACCTTCAGGATTTCTAAATATCCCAGTAAACAGTGACACTGTGATCCTGCCCAAGCCTAATAAATATTACTGTTTATTTACACAAAAGAATATTGAACGATGGTACACATGTTGGGTATGCAGCTCTGGATGCAGCATCAGTTTCTCAATACGCTTCTTACTTTTTAATTTTCCCTTTTATGTACTGGAAAAAACAGCGTTAGAAATAGACTAAACTGCGAGCGCTAAATGTTTTGGTCGTGCTGTTTGTTGGAAACTGTCTGCAACATGTTAAATATTCAAAAATAAATATATGGGATGAGTATTGGTTATTTAGGAAGACAGTGTAAAGATGCTGTGTGTAACCAATCACCATCTGGCTGGTGGGGTGCTGGGGCAGAGTGCGCATCATGGCGTCCATCTCATCAAACTTCTTGAGGGTGGCCTGCACCTCCGAGTGGAGCTCTTTGTACTCTGCGTACTGGTCATTAAACACGGCTCGGTACTGGTCCCGCTCCTCGTCGGACCGGATAGTTGGGTACTTCCTGCAGGACGGAGGGAGAGGATAACACTTCATGAACATCACAGGAGGTAACTACTACATGTGCACACTTGTTAGAGCAAGCTAGACACACAGTGAACATCTTTGGCTGTCTTGTTTCGTCCAAGCTCAGTACACACTGTGTGACTTTGGGCTGTCCCTGCTGAAAGATGACCAACGTGAAAGAAACGTGGCGATATCTTTGGTCGCGGCTCTAAAACGGTGGTCCTGCATCGCACAGTCAGAGACGCTCAAGGATGGTCTTCCTATCAAAGACAGCCTGGGATAAAATTCTGACAGTGTCAGAAATTTGGGATGATCATCTCACTGCTGTTACCACCACTGATCAGCGCTAAACCCAAACAAACAGACCAACAGCAGCTCGCCATGGAGGCAGAACACACTGAAAGAAATGTGTGTGATTCCAGCAAAGAGGAAAACCTTGTGGCGTTATAATGAGCCCTGCTGTGGACTGTGTCTACTGTGTCTACCTCAATCAGTTGCTCCCCTACCTACACCATAACAACATCCTGGAAAAATTTCAATCTGGTTTCAAGCCTCACCACAGCACAGAATCCGCTCTGTTAAAAGTCCACAATGACCTGCTCCTCTCCATCGACTCCGGTAACTGTGCTATCCTCATTCTCCTCGACCTCAGCACAGCATTTGACACAATAGACCACAACATACTAATACACCGTCTCCACCATGGCTCTGGTCACTGCTCTGAACTGGTTCACATCCTACCTCAACAATAGAAGCTTCTCCATTAACATTGGCTCACTCTCCTCCCCCTCAGCTACCCTCTCCTGCGGTGTCCCACAAGGTTCAATCCTAGGTCCCATTCTCTTCTCCATATACATGCTCCCCCTCGGTCAAATCATTCAAAAACACGACATCTCCTTCCACTGTTATGCTGATGACACCCAGCTTTATCTTCCCCTCAAACCTAACGACCAGCCCAAACTCACCAACATCCACAACTGCATTAATGAAATAAAATCCTGGATGGCAGCAAACTTCCTTCAACTCAATGACAGTAAATCAGAAATCATTCTCTTCGGCCCCTCTGACAACATCAACTTGATATCCAACAGTCTTGGCAACCTATCCACTTTCATCAAACCTCACGTCAAAAACCTTGGATTCATTTTTGATTCACCACTCAAGTTTGATAAACAGGTCAATTCAGTAGTTAAAGCCGTTTTTTTTTTCCAACTCCGCACCATTTCAAAACTCAAGCCATTCCTCACATTCAAGGACCTAGAAAAAGTCATCCACGCCTTCATTTCCACCCACCTGGATTACTGCAATTCACTGTACACCAGAATCAATCAATCATCTCTCTCCCGCTTACAAATGGTACAAAACACTGCAGCCAAACTTCTAACAGGAACCAGTAAGAGAGACCACATCACCCCCATCCTGACCTCTCTCCACTGGCTACCTGTTCAATTCAGAATTGATTTTAAACTGCTTCTGTTTGTATATAAATCCCTGAATGGTCTGGCCCCCACCTCCAGATCCCTCAGGTCGGCTGACCTGGGGCACCTAGCGGTACGACGCTCCAATTTTAAACACAGGGGTGACCGTGCCTTTGCGGTCGCAGCCCCCAGACTCTGGAACAGCATCCCTCCTTCTATCAGATTTGCACCTTCCATTGACTCGTTTAAATCTAGGCTCAAAACATATCTCTTCTCAAAAGCATTTGTATCCCCCTGACATGATATTTTAATCTCCCACTCTGTGCTTATTTGTGCCTTGATTTTTGTATTTATGAATGTTGCTGCTTTGGTTCTGGTTTTTGTGTTATTGTGTTTCTTCTGTATTTTTTTCATTTTTATTTTTTATATGTTCAGCACTTTGGTCAACGTGAGTTGTTTTTTAAATGTGCTTTATAAATAAACTTGACTTGACTTGACTACTTCTGCTAGCACACATAGGTCACTGAACAGTATGCGGTCATTTTAAGCAGCACTTACGCGATGTAGTCAGGCACAATAACAGGTTTGGGAATGTGTCCTGACGGTATGGTTCCCTGCAGTATGTGTGGTGGAGCTGCTTTAGGTGGTGCAGCCTGGATGGGAACCACTGAGGAGCCCTGGACCTGCTCTGGAGCTTTGGGTGCAGGAGCTGAAACTGGAGCCATCTGCAGAGACACATGAGAGAAGAGCGGCAACGTTAAAGCTTTCATCAACTTAAATGTGGGCGTGTTTCTATCTGTACTATGAGTTTTACACAGAACAGCGTTAGAGGATGCTCACCAAAGACTGTGCAGCACGCTGGTCGGGTGGATGCATCTGTGCAAAGATAGAAAAATAGAATCCAGTTAACATGAAACTTAAAATGAGGATCTACTATGGAAGGAAAAGTTTTGACATTTTGGGAGAAAAGCTTATTTGCTTTCTTGCAGAGAGTTAGACGAGAACACTGATACCACTGTCATATCTGTAGGTGAAATATGAAGCTACAGCCAGGAGACAGTTAGCTTAGCTTAGCATAAAGGCTGAACAGTGGGAGACACTTGGCCTGCACAGGTAGGACTCAGACTCCACCCACTCACTCCTCCACAGCTGTGTGCAAATTATATGGTTTGCTGTTGCATTGCAGTGTGTGTGTGTGTGTGTGTGTGTGTGTGTGTGTGTGGACATGTCTGAAGCCTGTTTTTCAGCCATCAACCTGATGGACAGAGTTGGAATAATCCTCTAAGTTTCAGAACTAACAGATCAAGCAGTGTGAGCTCTCACCTCCTCGCCGTACTTCTCTCGGTATCTGCGTGCAGCTTCATGTCTCCACAGCTTCAGACACACGATGGCTCCGATCAGATACACCACCATAGTGACAAACAGGAAGATAATGGCAGCCGTCTGGCCCGCCTCTGTTCTGCAGAACGCCCCGTTGATGCCGTTGTTGAACATCGGGTAGGAGCAGAGCCCTCCGCGGGTCGTGTCTCGCACATAGACAATGCCTGGTAAACAAAAAGCAAACGTGTCGAAACAGAGGCAGCTCCAGTGGGAAAAACAGTTTCTCACTTTCCTCTGGTGTTATCTTGCCACACATTTTTCAAGATTTTCAGATAACTGTATCGTCCCGCGGTTGTATGACTCAGCCCACCAGTCCAGTGTCTCTGACAGTCTCCATCCATGTCAGTGAAAACATGGATGCTTCACACACAGAAGATCTATACAATCAGCACAGTGTCAAGATTAGAGTCACCAATTCAGTATCTGACCAAATGTCTCCCCTTCTGTTCCTGAGATATGAAGTTAAAACATGATGATGTCACAGTCAAGCTGACCTTTGACCTTTTGACCTTCATTATTTTATCCTGTTAGACATTTGTGTCAAGTTTTGTCATGATTAGCAAATGAATTCTTGAGTTATAGCCAAATACATGTTTTGTGAGATCACAGTAACATTTGACCACAAAACTCTAATGAAGAGATTCCATTAAGGTGCTCTTGAGACAAACTGTTCATGAGAAAAAGACAGATTCAAAGTCACACCGACCTTGACCTTTGACCACCAAAACCTAATCAGCTCATTGATGAGTCCACGTAAACATTTATGCCAAATTTTAAGAAAATCCCTCAAGGTGTTCTTGAGATATTACATTCATGAGTACGAGAAAGACAAGGTCACAGTGACTTTGACCTTTGACAACCAAAAGCTAATTAGTATATTGCTGCGTCCAAGTGGACATTTGTGCCACATTAGAAAAAATTCCTTCATGCTATTCTTGAGATATTGCATTCAAGAGAACGAGATGGATGCTGGGCGACCGCAACTTTGACCTTTGACTCTTGACCACCAAACACTAATCAGTTCATCGTTAAGTCCAAGTGGACATTTGTGCTAAATTTGAAGAAATTCTCTTGTGCATACGGACGGACAACCTGAAAACATAATGCCTCCAGCCACGGCTATCACCGGCGCAGAGGCATTTAAGTCGTGTCATGATAAACATATGATTTTCTTGAGTCAAGAACATATTTTGCAAGGTCACACTGACCTTGACCTTTGACCACAAAATTCTAATCAATTTATTCTTCAGTCCAAATAGCTGTTTGTGTCAAATTTAAAGTAATTCCCTCAAGGTGTTCATGAGAGATTGTGTTCACAAGAAAAAATCCCCCATGGCTTACTTAATAATATCATGTTCACAAGGATGGGACAGATGGACAACCTGAGAACACAATGCCTCCGGCCACGGCTATCGCTGGCGCGGAGACATAATAAAACTCAAACTATCTGCGTGGATCCATCCGGAGTAGAAGAGTGAATGTGAGAGAAGCCAGGTTACCTACCTGCTGCCATGTACAGCACTGCCAGCGCCAGGTTGATAGTAAACTCAGTCAGAGGCCACCAGTTAGAGTCCAGCAGGATGGTGCGGTAGTACATGGTCATCCCCAGCACCAACACGATCACAGTCACTATCCAGGCCAGCCCCGCCACCACCAACACAAACGGCGTCTTGGGGCCGGAATAGTAGTACCCGCCTGTACCGCCACCGTATAATCCTCCATACGCTCCTCCAGGAGACGAGTATCCAAACATGTTGAACCACTCGTTGTCTTTGTGGATGTAAGCACAGACGCAGGCGAACACGGCTGCTCCCAGCAGGAGCTCCACACATCCCAGAATCCTCAGCAGCCCCGCCCAGGACTTCATGTAGGCGTAGCGCTGATGGTACTCCTCCACTCGCTCGCTGTAGGTCAGACCTGTGTGGTGGGTGCGCCCTGACATGGACTCATGGGCGTCGTGTAGCTCCAGAAGCTCCTTGCGCGAGTTGTAGCTGCTGCCTGAGCCGCCATACGGATCTCGGTATGATCCCGGGACAGAGGGGGAATGTGGAGGAGAGCAGCGCACCCCCTCAGTGGTGCTGTTGTTGTTGTTACATGAGGAGGCCGGCATCGACCACGGCGGCTTACTGCTGCGGTTACTTCCTCTGAAGAAGTTCTTCACGGAGTCTGGGATGAAGCGGTGGACCGGTTTAATGTCGAGGGCCGGGTCGTGGTCCAGGTCTTCGTTGTCCTCGCTGCCGCTGGGATCAAACTCGGGGCCCACAGGAGGCAGGTCTGGTAGCGGTGGCGGAGGGAGGGGGTCGGCGCTCTGGGCGAGGCGAGGCGCTCTCTGCTCCCTCAGCGGCTGCAGATCGTAGGAGTCTGATCGCGGTAAGGTGTCTTGTGGTACCTGGTCATAGTAGGGCGACTGGCGGACACGCTCAGTGCGTCCGTAAAAGCCTCCTCCATTGGACATGAGGATGGTGATGGTCCCTGACAGAGCACAAACACACGTTTTCAGTCAGTGATGTTTTGTTACTTACAACAAAAGGTTCACAGCAGAGCAGTAAAGCTTTGTTTGCTTAAAGATTAAACAATTTGATGCTCAAGATTATTTATCAACTGTTTTGATAATTTATTAAGTCATTTATTCAGCAGAAATCCAAAACATCTGCAGGTTTTAGCTCCTCAGATATGAGGATTTGTTGCTTTTCTTTGTTTGTTAACTTTGTAAATTCAATGTCTTTGGGTTCTGGACCAAACAGGACTTTTTGTCTGGACTGTTTTCTCATGTTTAATGGACCAAAGGAAAAACTGATGAGAGTAAACTTTAAATATCTTGTTTCGTCCAACCAACAGGCCAAAACCCAAAGATCCTAAATTTACTACCATGTAAGAAAAGCAGCAAATCCTCACAAATGATGCAGCAACTTGTCTGAAAACTGATTCATTTAAAGGGTAAGCTTTGTTTTTCCCCCCAGTATGGGCTCTACTTTCCCACGCTTTTGTGTCTAAGTCATGGGAACAACAATTTCTGAACTGTAAACCGTACGGGCGATTGTGCACCGTCAACTTGCATCAACTAAAAGTGCTTGTTTTTGCCCCTGACAGGCTCCGATTGTTATTATACATTTCTGAAAACATCAGAGAAAGGATCCCTTCAGAGAAATGAAACATTTTTCCTCTCCCAGTCTTCCTCAATCTTGCGTGAGGTTACTTGCAGGAAAAACAATGGCGTTATAAGTGAGAGTCAGAGAGAGGAGCGCCTGTGTTGTGTTGGAGAACAGAAAGTGCAGTTTGGTGATCAATGTTATGGCTGAATATTGAGCTGATGTTGACAATGTGGAAAAATCTGTGAGACTGCAGAACGAGAGTGAGACTTGAGCCCTTTTACACTGCCAGATTTTCGGCAAATTTTTGCCGGCAAGCTGCGAGCGTTTAGACACACAGAGCCGGATTGGCGAGTTGATCCGAGGTGCCCAATTTTCCTCCTCGTAGGGTAGACATATTGGAGGAACCCTTTTAGTTTAAACAGATCGAGGCGGCCTTCTGCAACGGGAGGGGCTGTTGATGACGCCGCACGTGCGAGCCACTGGCGGTGGATAAACAGGAAACAGCTGATAGCAGGAATCAGCAGCTAGTAGCAAGAGGGAAACACAAACCTGACAGACACTGTAAAGATGAGCAACTGGGGAGACAAGGAATTGTGCGCCCTCCTTGTCCTCGCAAACGAAGAGGCCATTAACCATCAGATGACGGGGACGGTGAAGGACGGGACGACTTATGAGAGAATCGCCGAAGGACTGACCAGCCGCAGCTTCCCTCCAACGTCACTGTTTACGTCACACGCTGAGCTACACGTTTTGTTACTTGCTCACGCCCCCCATTGCCCAGAAAAAGGCACATTCTGTATAAACAAAAGTAGGTAGGCGGCATTTTGCTGCACTCCCAGATTTTGTTTTTATACTGCCAATGCTGAAAAAAAACTGATTGGGCTTTCCTGCAAATTTGCACAACTCCTGTCTAAAAAGGGCTAATGTGTCACATGATGGAGGCAGATGAGACAACGCTGCTCGGCCCCGTGAATGGAACATTTACATTTAAAAACACCCAGATGGAACTATTATTAGGAGCACCGTTCTCTGCAGGTTCTGCAGTGAGGACTTTTTGTACCATCCGAGAACTTCAGCCTGAAATATCACCTCAACACAAAGCATTTAGCAGCGAACCCAGAGGGCAGTCAGCCTCGTCATGCCACACTGCACCAGGTGTTCAGACTGAGTCAATCTACCTGTGACTGACTAATTAAGTCCCTTATAAAATGGACGGCAGACCAGTTTCAGTGGTCGAGGACAGGGGGACAACTGTGTCCAACATCCAGCAGCTTCACTATGACACATCTGACAACATTCATTTAAACTGAAATTTTTAAATAGTTTCACAGCAGAAGTTGACGATTAACTTAGACTAAGTAACCACAGGGCATGTACTTAATTAGATGATTTTTTTTAAATTGCTTGACAGCCCTAGATGCTTTCCATAATGTTGTCAGACAATTAAAATAACAATCCGAGCCTGTCAGTGCAAAAACAAACACTTTTAGTGGACGTAAACTGACAGCGCACAATTGCCTGTAGGGATGACATTGCAGCCTGTTTCACCGCTGTGGCTGCAGAGCTCTATACAAGACTTGCTCCTGTGAGTCACTCAGACACAAAAACATGTGAAAATAGGGCCCAGGTAAAGAAAACACTGAAATTTCCCTTTAAACGTGATTATTCTATTCTCAAAATTGTTGCCAATTACATTTCTTTAAATCATTTAATCATTTAAGCTCTAATTATATCATCAAGTCAAATCATTAACAGAACCAAGTCAGCAAAGACAGAGGAAGTATGAAAAGAAAGAAGCCAAAAGATTGAAAAAAAAAAACAGTCCAGTGCTCCAGGAATGAGTCCTACAACCTGTGAATGAGTTAACATTTTTCCACTCATGGTTCCCTCGTCTCAGAGTCAGTGGGCTTTTGGTTAGATTCCCAAAATAAGGTCTGTGATTCACACAAGCTGAGGAGACTTTCATGTTTTGCTCTACGACATAAAATACATGAGTAAGGGAGCGATCACACCGAGATGAAACGCCAGAAACACGATGCCAGTAAAACCATTGTTTTCCTATGGTACGGCGCGTCTGACCGGCGTTCAAGCGTCTTTTTAGACGCGCGTAGACGCTGAAAAGTTAAAATATTTTCAACTTTGTGAGCGTCAGACGCCAGTAGCTAGCGCGCATTGAATAAGCGCTTCCAGCGTTTCAAGCATCTTTGAAGCATCTACGTCTCTAGCGTCTCATTTCTGTGTGATCGCCCCCTAAATACCCCACTAGGGATGCAACGGACTGTCACTGTACGATAACCACCTCTCTGTGAGATCTCGGTTTCACGGTATTAAAGAATCTACGACTTTTACATCACAATATATTTTGAGACTAGTATATCGCTGCAACTCTTGACCCCACTGTACATTTTGAAGCTTTTGTGTCTTGAAAAAGGCGATTGCTAACAAGTGGCTGAATGAGATGACAGAATGTCATCACGCCGACACTTAAAGCCTCAATGTGGCGGCGGTTAATAGAAATGTACAGATACCACTTTTTCCTTCCCGATACGATTCCGATCCGTGAACCTTAGGTATCTGCCGATACAGAGTACTGATCCGATACCAGCGCATAAAGAAAAATGGATGGGATATGAATTGTTGTATGTCTCAACTCCTAAAACTCTAGCGCCTGTAGCGTTCGTATGCGTAATGACGTGAGGCATTATGTGGTATCGGATTGGTCATAGGCTGTACTCGCCAATACCCGATACCGCATTTTAGGCAGTATCGGAGGCATTTCCGATACTGGTATCGGTACAACTCTGGACGTTAAGTCCTGCAACTGTGGTGTCGTTTGTTTATAGTGTATAACGTTAGGTTTTTTTTACTTCTAGAGATTTTATTTAAGCTTCAAAAATCATAAAAGTGGTCCATTTGTAAAGATTATTTTGCTGAACAGAAGTATCATAACTGTTTGTTTGCCACAGAGCTTATTTTTCTGCAATTATCCAAATTGCTTTCCCCACAGGCTCTCTGACGAGGGAACCATGGCGACGCTAACTTCCGTGTTGTCCTACAGAAAAACGTCATCCCTGGAGCACTTTATTCAAATTCAACATTCAAGATTATCCTTCATGCAAAGTCTGTTTCCTCCACATACCCAGCAGATATCGCTAACCCCCAGTACCTGAGGTCACCAGAGAGAAAGATGTTATCCCACCATCCTCCATGCAAGCTGAGTCAAGAATGCATTTTTGTGCTGTAACCAAACCCCGAGTGAAACTAACTCTGCTGCTGATGTAATAACTGCTTTTGTATCCGGTGACGCTCAACTTACCCGTACTTGTTGCAGACAGCACAAAAATACATTGTTGACCACCAGTCAGCCCTTTAAAGCCCCTTCATTTCTTTAATGATCTGGAGAGGTTAGAAAATAATATGAACTGAGCTTGAATACCTCTTTCACACGCAGTCACTCAACACGACTTACATTGGCCTGCAGGTCAGAATGCAAACCTGGTATGAACATGCAGAGTGCGAGGAAATCTCCTGTAGAGACACACAAAGATATGAAGGTGTGAGACGTGAACATGAGGAGTGTGTGTGTGTGTGTGTGTGTGTCAGATAAATAACTACAGTTAAATACAGTAAATTTACAGCGATATAAAACTGAGAAAAGCAGCAAATCCTCACCTGTGAGAAGCTGGACACAAATAATATTTCACAATATCAGATATCAAAATAGCTGCTGACGTTTGTGGGTGCTGCAACTTACAATTATTTCATCGTCGAATAATCTGTTCATTATTTTCTCAATTAATCAATTTGTTGTTTGGCCGATAAAATATCAGAAAATAATGAAAAATGTAAATCAGTGCTTCCCTGAAGTTCAAAATAACATTATCAAATATCTTGTTTTGTCCACAACCTAAAGATATTCAGTTTACTCTCACAGAGGAGCAATGAAACCAGAAATATTCACATTTAAGACGCTGGAATCAGAGAATTTTAACTTTATTGTCCTTAAAAAAATACTCAAAGCAATTATTTGATTATCAAATTAGTTGGCATGAATTTAATGACAACTAAACAATTAATTGTTGACGCTCTAGTGCTGCTGTAAAAGAGCGTGCATGTTCAGTAAACCTACTCTGTATAAAAGAAGGTAAATAAAGCTAAAAAAAAGTGATCTATTAATTTTATTTTAAATTAATCGGGTAATCTTTCCGTCTGTACAACAACAAAAAATATTAAAAAGAACACCCATTACAAGACAGAGCCCAATCTGACATCTAACATTCACCCACCAGTTTATTAGGTACAGCTACCTTTAATTAAAGGTCCAGTGTGTAGGATTTTGAGGAATATATTGTCAGAAATATAATCAGTCTGTTTTCTTTAATGAATAATCACCTGAAAATAAGCATATTTGTATTTTTGTTACCTCAGAATGAGCTGTTTATATCTACACAGGGAGCAAGTCCTTGTCTATAGAATTCACCATGTTACACCGCCATGTTTCTACAGTAGCCCAGAACGGACAAACAAAACACTGGACTGATGGAGTCGAGTGCAACAATCCTACAATAAATCCTCCTTCATGACATTATAATTATTTTATCCGCCCTGATTATATCACTCACTACGTTAACATAACATTAGTGAAAATGGATTTATCGTCCGAACCAAAATTGGACTTTTAAAATACATGTTAGTTGGACTGAAATCATAAATCAAAGTTCTCAAACTGGCCGAGGCGCTCTGAGCATGCTCCACAGTTTCCGCCCCGGGCTTTGACCCTGAAGTCCAATAGCATTAAATGTGTAAGAGAAGAAGAAGCCGGTAACAACATGGAGAAATCTACATCCAGAGCCGTGACTTTCTGGACGGACCAAATGTACAGAGCTGTAAAGTTGTCCACCATGGTAGCAGTTAGCAGCTAGCTAACCGTAGCTAACTTGTTTGTCCATTGTTTGGTCTGTGACATAATAGGTCAACAGGAAAAAGGTCCAATACTAACAAGCTGAAAGGGGGCATATCTCCACCTATCATAGAGGAGTCGCACATACTTGGCTCAATAAATGGATTCCCCTCCTCACACAGTTGAATCAAGAGCTCTGAGTTTCAACACAAACTGAACTTTATCACCTTCATGACAGAGGATTTATTACAGGACTGTTGTATTCATTTTGGCTGGGTGTGGCGTACCTAATAAAGTGGACACAAGTGTATATTCCTCATTTTATAATCACTGTCAGAGAAAACAGAAGCACAAAAGCAAAAACAGTTGCAGGTAGTGTCGTCACGATATTGGGATTTATAACGTTTATACAATATGTTGAAAAATACCAACATAACATTCTGACACCACAGGGAAAAACTGACATGTTGGGCACACATTTAAAATTGCTATTAAAAGATAAATATAACAAGACTATGACATGACAACAACAACTTTACTTGTCTTGGTTCGTAGCAGAGCACAGCAGAATGACTGCAGTAAACATTAACAACAAGAGACAACGAGAAAGCACAGCTGGTGACGCTGTATTGATACTGCAGACAGTGAGTGCTGAAACCGTTTCAGATATTCGGAATAAATATGTATTGACAAATCAATATATATTTTTCTAACAGAAGCATTCTCACACATGATGTGTCCAAGGACCATCGTGAATATGAAAATCTAAAGATATTTTCTGTTTAAAGAAAACATGCCCTCCAAACCCATGTTTTGTTTTAAATTAATCAGCAGTAAAATAAATACAAATTACATCCATTTAAATTTGTATGCCCCCTCCCTTAAGCCAAAGTAGAAAAAAAACACAATTCCTTCCCCAGTGCTTAAAAAATTATTTTACATGCCTCCCCCTTTGTGCACCTCCTCCCCCATCAAAAGTAATGAACACTCCCTAAGTTGAATGAATTAATAATTTTAGTTTTTAACGCTACATTTCAATTCAATTCAATAAAACTTTATTTATCCAGAGGGAAATTCTTGTGCAAGAAATGGGTGGGTTCCCAGTGGTTGCTTTGGGCCCAGTTTTAAAACAACATAGCATTAAATATCAGTGAAAATATCACTAATATACAAGATATAAAGTGTTTAAGGAAAAAAGAAACCAGTGCCTAATGGAGGAACAACAGAAGTTAGATACGTGCATGAGTTACTGAAATGAACTAATATGGTGGACACTGCAGACTGCACCTGATACTCAGTTATATTGAACATGAAATAATAAATGAAGTAGTTTTGCACATGGTTTTGATTTTGTGAAAATAACATTACACTACACAGATGTGTTGTTGTGATACTGATAGGTAAACTGAAATGATCCCTGATTATGCTTTTACCAAAGCAGCATATTTGTACTTGTAATGGAGTACTTTCACAGCCTGGTATGAGTACTTTCAGTGCAGTAAAGTATCCGGATACTTGTTCCTGTGGGATAACGGCTCACATGAAGCGGAGTGTTGGTGTAGTGATGCATCACCAGGCTCACAGCAAACAGTTAATAATAATATAAGAGTCTATATTAATGTGTCAGCTCTGCTGTAACAACATATGAACAGTATATATATGTGTGTGTGTGTGTGTGTGTAATATTTAGGTAATAATGATAATAATGAGTGTAGCAGAGTGAGTCAGTGAAGGAGGCCTGATAAGAGCAGAGCTGGCTCAGAGCCAGAAGGCTCGATCACAGGAGAATTCACCGTAACGCGTCAAAGTGACTCCATGTTAACTCCTTATCGTGTTTAAGGTGTTTTAATAAAGTTAGAATAACTGTAACTGTGTGAAAAGTCGCGTTAAATGACTTTAAATAACAGGTTTCGTTCCCGCAGCGGTAAAACTTCCCTCGAAGTTCCCGTTAAGCTAACGTTATGTTGCGTTCACTGACTTCTCGACTTTTAAAAGTTCCCGTTTCAAACCACAATCGGCTCCTGATCGATATTTACCTCCCAGCACTGATCGATACGTGTGATTATGGGATGTTAGTTCAGTCTGGGGTCTGCTGACTTACCTTGGTCGCGTCCCTTCTCCTCCTCTTCCTCCTCTTCTTCTTCTCTCTCATTTCAGTAACATTAAACCAACAGGTTTCCCTCTGACGGGACCACGTGACCTGCCCATCCCCATGACGTCACCCAGACTGTGGGGGAAATTTACCTGTTTGGAAAACAACACCTGAGGCAGCCTGAGACACTCAGACACCGAGACACTGGGACTGAGACTGAGACTGAGGGACGGGACCAGGTTCTTATATCACAGTGCTGTGTTAAAGTGCTTGTTCTTTATATGAGCAGATTATTTCCATCTCCTGCAGCTTCATATTTGAACCTGACTGTATTTCAGAGAGAAATCAAAAACATGTTGTTTACAGTCGGTAAACAGGTTTGCACATATGAGGAATCTGTCAAACAATAAACACAAAACAAAAGTCCAGAGACATCATTTAAAAACTGAAAAAGTTACAGGTTAAAAAACAAAAATTGAAGTTTAATATGTTGTATTTATATAACACCTTCAAAAGAAAAGACATGCATACACAAACACACACACACATATGTGTGTGTGTGTATATATATATATATATATATATATATACACACACACACACACACACACATATATATATATATATATATATATATATATATGTATGTTTGTTTGTGTGTGTGTGTGTGTGTGTGTGTGTGTGTGTGTGTGTGTGTGTGTGTGTGTGTGTGTATATATATATATATATATACACACACACACACACACACACACACACACATAGACATACACACACACACACACACACACACACACATACATATATATATGTATTAATGAAGATGTATTTGTTTTATTATTATTTCTATTTAATTTATATCATATACTAAGATAGGTTTTTGTAAGTTATTTGGTTCTTACTATTATTTTTGTGTGACAAAGTAAAAAGGTAATAACAGTGGTATATTTAGAAAAGTTAAAGGTACACGTTTATCTATATGAGCAAACTGTTTCATTTCACTCAGTGACTGATGGAGAAGATTTTATACGTTTATACTTCCTCACACTCCTTTTCAGATGTGTAAATCAAACTAACTTTATACAGACAAATACTTTTACATAAAGCTTTTCATTATTTACTTCTGTCTGCTTGTTTGTATGTTCATGTCTCTTTTTTTAAACATGTTTAAAATAAATATCAATATTAATTTCAATAAATATGTTTGGGTTTTGGACTGATGCTTTGACAACAAAAGAAATCTGAGGACGTCACTTGGGCCTGTGAGGAGCTACAGTGTAAATAAATAATGGGCAGATTCATTTCTAATAAAAAAAATCATTAGCTGCAGCTGTATTATATCTGTAACTGGTACATCACTGCAGCCATATTGTCTACAGGTGTTTACTGTCAGCAGCAGGTAGAAATAATCCGGCCTGACTGGCAGATTTTTCACTGAGACTGTTCTGTGAATATGACGATCATGTGAAGAAGTTAAAATCAGACCCACCTTGATCGGTTAATATTAAAATACTGCTCACATCTTCAAGAATATTATGTATCTTAAATATTCATTTTTAACAATGACAACATGTGACTGATCTGCACATTTAAAACTCATCGTACGGCACGTCCTTCACTTTAATTGTCGTGACCTTTTGTCCTGATTACACACAGGAATGTACACGAATGAGCCGAGCCCGAGCCTGAAGGCTGCAGTCCTCATCGTCCTGCATTAAGTCATCTGCTGACACAAAGTCTGACACTTCATTTATCTATACGCTGCTGTTCAGGATATTTATAATCTGTTTTTTAAATTACCAATAAATGTATTTTTCCCTTGCTTCTCATAGCCACATTCAGGCAGACTGAAAAGAAAACAGATACAGAAATGAGTTTAATTTGCATTTCAAAGCCTTTAAATGTTCAGTGAAACCCACTTGTTCCTCGTCTTTAAGGAGCAGCAGCTGATGCACACAACAAGTGGAGTCGAGTCGTTTTGACTGAAGCACAAAATAACAAGAGCAGCTGTTGAGTGTATGATGAGTATGATGATGGGATGAAGTGTTCCTGTACGTGTGGAGAACATTCTCCTACTCCTTAAGCTAAATAAACTCTTTAAAGCCTCTAGGATCAGCTGCAGAGTGCTTTGTCACAAAGGTGGAAACAGGCTGTATTTATACTGAGGTAATGAATTTGAATACTTATCTGTAGTGTTCAGAGGTGAGCAGCAGGTGGCGCTCTGTAGTTAAAACATGAGATGGAGGGTGAAGGAAGGGAAAGAGTTTCTACGTCTGTTACATCATCTACAATTTTCTTGTCTCAGTTTCAGTGGGTAAAAGTCTGAACATAAAACACTTCACTCCTAATTTTGACCCCAGAGTCTGAAACACAAAATGAAAACATCTTTAAATTTGAATCACCACTCTCTGGTTGTATGACTCCGCCCACCAGTCCACCCTGTGGTTGTATGACTCCGCCCACCAGTCCAGTGTCTCTGACAGTCTCCATCCATGTCAGTGAAAACATGGACGCTTCACACACAGAAGATCTATACAATCAGCACAGTTTCAAGATTAGAGTCACCAATTCAGTATCTGACCAAATGTCTCCCCTTCTGTTCCTGAGATATGACGTTAAAACATGATGATGTCACAGTCAAGCTGACCTTTGACCTTTTGACCTTCATTATTTTATCCTGTTAGACATTTGTGTCAAGTTTAGTCATGATTAGCAAATGAATTCTTGAGTTATGGCCAAATACATGTTTTGTGAGGTCACAGTGACCTTTGACCAGAAAATTCTTATCAGTTCATCGTTAAGTCCAAGTGGACATTTGTGCTAAATTTGAAGAAATTGAGATTTTAAGTTTTGTCATAATTAGTCAATCAATTTTATTTATAAAGCCCAATATCACAAATGACAATTTGCCTCACAGGGCTTCACAGCATACGACATCCCTCTGTCCTTTGGACCCTCACAGCTGAATGTATGAATTCTGCCCACACCATACTGACCTTTGACTAGAATTCTAATCAATTTATTCTTCAGTCCAAGTGGACATTTGTGCCACATTAGAAGAAATTCCTTCATGCTATTCTTGAGATATTGCATTCAAGAGAACGAGATGGATGCTGGGTGACGGCAACCTTGACCTTTGACTCTTGACCACCAAACACTAATCAGTTCATCGTTAAGTCCAAGTGGACATTTGTGCTAAATTTGAAGAAATTGAGATTTTAAGTTTTGTCATAATTAGTCAATCAATTTTATTTATAAAGCCCAATATCACAAATGACAATTTGCCTCACAGGGCTTCACAGCATACGACATCCCTCTGTCCTTTGGACCCTCACAGCTGAATGTATGAATTCTGCCCACACCATACTGACCTTTGACTAGAATTCTAATCAATTTATTCTTCAGTCCAAGTAGACGTTGGTGCCAAATTTGAAGAAATTCCCTCAAGCTGATCTTGAGATATTGCGTTCACAAGAATGAGACGGATGCAAGACCACAATGACCTTGACCATTGACCACCAAAATGTTATCAGTTCATCCTCGAGTTCAAGTCAACGTTTGCGCCAAATTTGGAAGTAATTCCCTCGACGTATCTGGAGATATCGTGTTTACAAGGATGGGACGGACAACCTAAACACATAATGCCTCCGGCTACAGACCTTAGACTTTGGACTATAATTTATCAACACACTAGTTTGTTTCAAGCCAGAAACTCTTTTTAAAAAGTATTTATATATAATAATAATAATAATAATAATAATAATAATAATAATAACAATAATAATACATTTTATTTGTTGGCACCTTTCTGAGCACCCAAGGACACCTTACAATAAAAACATACAAAAATACCAATAATACAACATTAAAAATAGATAAAATACATGACAGAAAATTAAACCAGATAGGCAAGTCTGAACAGATGGGTTTTAAGCTGTGATTTAAATTGTCCAATGGAGTCAATCTGACGGATATGATGTGAAAATTATTTCTGAAATGTTTTGATCTGCTTTCATTTGTGCTGCGCCAGACAAGAATTCACAACTTAAAACAATTAATCCCTCAAAATCTAAAACTAACAGTACGTACTGATGACACCAGTGTCAAAATGTACTGCTACAATCATGTTTGTTTTAAAACATAGATTTTATGAAAAAGTTGGTCCTTTGAAGTGTCCCAGATTCTTGTCAACTAACCTTAACCCCATAAAAGTTGTTAACTCGTGTCTCACTTCCTGGTTTCCAAAAAAGGCAGGGATGCTGCTCAAGGTCTGGTAAGATTTCTATTTTTTGGTAAATTAGTGAAATAATATTTCAATTTGATGGGTCTCACCAGTGACCCCTGACATGGTAAGTGGTTTAAGAAAATGAATGAATGAATGAATGAATGGTGTGTCTCAACCACAGCAGGTCAACTCAAAGAATTATGGTTTAATAATGACTGTTTTGATTTGGAAGTGTGCACAGATTATTTGTCTAAATGAAATTTTTATACAACCTGTCAACTTGATTCTAATTTCTGACACATGAATTAGCCTCGCTGGGTTAGTTTAAAGATAAAAAAAACATACAGAAAACATAAGGACTAAAAGTTGACTCAAATCTTTTGAATTTTCATTGATTACAACTATGAAGGATAAAAATGGCTAAAATGTGACTACATAAACATTTTTGTCACAAGACTGAGACTTAATCTAACATAGCTGTCGTAATTAATGCTGTTTCAACGTTTATTATTGTTGTATTTTTCCAAAATACAGACCTGATGAGGCTCAGTGTCTGCAGGAGCTGATTACTTTTCACACCAAAAACTTTTACTTTGAAGAGTTTTTCCAAACTCAGAGCTTCTTTAAACGTTTAGGTGTTTTGTGAATATGTCCCCCAGGGGCCCCGGCCATGTGCAGCTCAATGACAATAAAAGGAGACATGATGGGGGGAGCTCCTTTGTGCACATGTCAGAGTATCACTCCCACCATCATCTTGGTCTTTGTGTTACTGGCATAGATTTCTTTCTTTGATTGGAGTCTTGCTTGGTTTACAGAACCAGAAGTAAAAAGAACCTCCTATCAGCGATTGATTGTATCGAATATTAAACATATTTTTATCCTTATCGTTCACTTCTCTCTGTCAGATTCTCCCTCATTATCTCTGCCTCCTGCCATCAAACATGTGACGGCTCCCTTTGGCGTGAAGCCTTTCAGGGCCCTTGTGTGTCATGTCAGAGAGGTCAGAGGTCAGCACGACTGGCTGCACTCTCCTCAAACCCTCCTTTCTTTGTTTGTCTCCTTTCACACAGCCACAGAGCAGCTTCCAGGCAACAGGATGTGATCTGGAGAGCTTCAGCTGCTCAAATTTCTTTAAAAGGTACAAAAAATATAGAAAGTGGTTTTTGTAGAAGGTGTTGGAAGGGTTGGTGAAGGAGACCCTACTCAGGGACTGGACTTCACACCAAGGGCCCGCCTCGTGCTCAAAGTAGATCACTTCACAAGCAGCGTTCTTTGGGGCTTTTCCATAAAGCGGGTTGGCAGAGGAGCTCAGTACCTAATGCCAGGCTTTAGATACAGCAGGTGATCCTGTAACGACACAGGTCTGCTGTAGGTGATGCCATGCCAAACCAGGTTGTACTGGAGAAAGCTGCATTTGTCTGGTGTGAGGCTGAGGTGGACCCCTCTGCTGTGGTCGGCCTTGGCTCTGTCTTTGGGCCGGGGGTAGCCTTCAATTTTGAAAACCTGGTCTCCGCTGATTTTGGCTGTAGGTTAGGGGACCTCCAGTTTGACGTGGTCTGTCTTCCTCATGGTATTGATTAAAGATGGCGGCTTCCTGCCTGTTGTTTATTTGTTGTTCCTATTTGGGGTCGACCTTTTGACCTTTTGTGCTGTTAAGACTCTTTCTCTCTTCCTTCCACTCAGGTTAGTCATGGCATCGTAGGAGTTAATCTTCCTCTCCATCTCCTCTGTGGCGAGGAGCCAGGTTCTGCAGCTAAGGCTGTTCCAAAATCGAATCAGTTCATCGTTAAGTCCAAGTGGACGTTTGTGCCAAATTTGAAGAAATTCCCTAAAGGGACAAATAGCATTCACAAGGATGAGGTGGATGAGGTTACAGTGACCTTTGACCACCAAATTCTGATCAGTTCATTGATGAGTCCAAGTGGACGTTTGTGCCAAATGTGAAGATATTCCCTCAAGGAATTATTGAGATATCAACCCGAAAACATAATACATCCTACCACAGCTACTGCCGACGCATAAGCATAAAAACAACAAGAAACAATTACAAACAAGAAAAGGGGGCAACTAGAAAAAGACGCAACATAAAAAAAACAACAATAAAAAAGAAGGCAACAAGAAACAAACAAACAAACAAAATAAAACCCATGGTACTGATGAAATGTTCTCACATTTAATCTGGAAATAAGAAATTTTCACACATCATCAGAACAACAGACGTGATGTTATCTGAACCGGCAATGATGTCGCCACGATCGGAGCAAATACAAACAGAAAAACCACACACATATATATTTATACATCACATATCTGGTTGACAGATAACAGCCGACATCAGGAGTGACGAACCCATTTAAAATACAGCAACTCAATAAAATCCACTACATTAAAAATGGCTCTGTAAAGAGTTGATCACAGCAGCGTCACGTCTCTCTGTAGAAGCCATCACACAAATACTGCTGTAAATATACTCAAATATGTAACGGCCATGAGTCCGAGCTGCAACGTAAAACACTTCCCACACGAGGATCGGGATGGCAGGAGTTATAGCGAGTTCATTTGCTGAACACAACACACAAATACAGCATCAATATACATGAATATATTGCATAAGGTTAGGGTTTGTTTGTCAAGTATTACTACAGTTGTGTTTCTACCTAAGGGTAGGAGAAATGGCTTTTAGGTATAATCATCATCTGCATCAGTACAAGCAAAATCAACACACAAACCCAACAGGTTCCACAGATACTCAAAAAGGAATGTCTCCAAACAGGGGTACACTTATCGTAAAGGGTTAGCAAACATATTTTGGACACGTCTTAATAGACAAGACAAAAACAGATCTGATGTAGTGAGCTCCTGCTCCACCCTGTGTGCTGTATCAACCCGTTCCTAAAGGCCTTTTCCACCACAGGAACATAACGTGCAGCTGCTGACGATGGTTCTGCTTTTGTTTCCACAGTTCTACGAACTAAACGGACGGAGGTGATGCTAATTAAAGTATTCTGAAGCAAGATGCAAAAAATTGGTTGTGGCAAACCAAATATTGAAAAAAGTTTGAGTCTGTCTTTGGGATTACGTGTTCCTTTTTAAAACTTGTAAACAACTTCTCAACTAGCTAGCAAGCTAGCAGTCAGCGAAGGCTAGCTTACGCTAGCTAAGGCTGTCTACTTATTACCCTCTTGGTCATAACACAAAATAGTAGTTTTGACCACTGCTCATTTTAGAAAGGCCACCATGTTCTTTTTTCTGTTCTGACTGGTTCCCCATAAGCTTCGCTTTACGCAGTTGTGTCTGCCAGCAAGCACAATCCTGGGACAATAAAGGCTCGCTAATGTTAGCATGTTAGCTAATGTGCGTTGTCTTGTGGTGGCCTTTCTAAGGTGAGCATAAGTTACTATATTCTGTTATGATCACAGTGTTGGCCTAGCGCAGCTCTAATTGGCCAAATTAAAAATGGCGGACAGTTATCACACCCTCGTTTTGAATCCATTAACCTTTACAGCACTTCACAGAAACCCTGCCGCCGACTAGTGTTTTGGAGGTATAACTGCAGAGTGACATGGCATAAGTATAAATGCTCACGATGGCGTAGGCCACAAGCGTAGGCTACAGCATAGAAAAGAAACACATTTACACCACTCAGCAGTGGTTGGTCCGCCAGAGAAGGTAGGCGGAGCTAACAAAACAGACTCGCTCTTCAACTCACTTGTTGTGAACTAGGGTGCTAATTTTTTCCCATCTCAGCTAGCGTTGAGAGTGAACGGTTAATTCGGCTGAACAAAGAACTTAAGAGTGTTGACTACAGGCGATGCCAACTGACTGACGTCACAAAGGCGACACTGCTTGCATTTTTGTTAAGTGAGATCCCAAGACACACCTGCAATTATTGCTGATCGCCATAGGTGGTGCCAATGGGAACAAAACACAGATCTTTGGGGTCGTAACTTTAGGAACATTAGTGTTTTTATATATGTTTAAATAACGTACTATTTTCAGAAAACAAAATGCTTAGGTCTGTGACTTAAATTTAAAAGTAGTACATGAAAAGCATGAACTGTGGCCATTTATTTCGACCAAACAGGACAAAAAAAATTGTTTTTAAATAACATACACCCCCAAAAAACACCTGGTTTGTCAAACACAGTGGAAACAAAAGACAGAACCTTGCACTAATGCTTCACAGGTTCTTAAAAGTTCTGGTTCTGGGTCGTTGCGTTCCTGTAGTGGGAAAAAACACCTCTAAATAACTAATATAAAGTTAAAAGCTGACATGAAGAGGTTAAACGTGACGGCTTTGAGGATAAGCATCAAAGTAGCACAGTTATTAAAATCTTCTGATTAATATGTCCTTCACATGTAACTACGATTTTCACGTGAATCACAGTAAAATACTTGTGACCGATGTGGTTCTACAGTAAATATTCTACAGTAAATATTACAGCATAATTATGTTTGATTCTCTGAATACATTCCTAAAGACTACAGTTAGATTAAATGTTGATTGATTCCTGCATTGATCAGCTTGAATAAAAAATACTGCGGTTTTATTGATCAGGCAGTTTGTTTTAATCTCTGATTATTGTCGTATAATCTCTGTTTAAGCTTGTGATCGTATAGGCAGGATGAGCCAATGAAATACTGTGATCTATAAAGTGCATAAAAGTCGATAACAGCATAGTGACGAAATGATAACGATGATAACAGCTGCTTTGACAAACACTGTAAATATGGCTCCCTTTATGGCCATCTTCCTCTCGTGTGACAGTTAGTGTCCGTAACAAATAACAGCATCAAGAAGAAAATACTTAAAGGGTGATTCAAATACCTCTTGTGGTAAAAGTCGTACATTGTTCTTTACTCCCAAGTTAAATCAAGAAGTTCTCTAAGACTCAGAGGTACGTTATAAAATCCGACAAATTACAGAATAAAAGTGAAGCATTAGGATCAAAGTGCCGTGTCGTTGTCTCAGAGTGGTGTACACACATGGACACACATGTAAAGTGCACCCACCGCTTTATTAAAACCGTCCCAGTGACGGTTTGCATTGCTTGTGTCGAGACGCTTGTGTTGGAACGTACAGTGGAGGTCCGGCAGAAGACTTTAGTAAGGAATTTGGTTCTGGTAATACTGCAGCATGTCGTACGTTTTGCTCCTGTTGAAAACAAGGTGATGAAAATATGTCAGTTACAACAATGTTATACAGGAAACTTCCAATTTAACTTATTTTAATGTTGCCATGATGACGTCATGTCAGAGAGACAGGTGTGATTTTTCTTACCTGCTGCTGAGGAAACAGCTTTGGATGACTTTGATGATGAACGCAGCAGCTTCTTTCTCGCTCATTTGAGGATTAAACCGTCCTCTGATTAAAACAAACACAAAACTAGGATTACTGCCCTGTGGTTGTATGCCGCCGCCCACCAGTCAAGTTTCTCTTACAGTTTACATCCATGTCTGTGAAAACATGCAAGGCGCAAGGTCACAGTGCCCTTTGGCCTTTGACCACCGAATTCTAATCAGTTATTCCCTGACTCAAAGAGGACATTTGTGCAAAATTGTAAGAAGCTCCCTCAAGGCCTTCTTGAGATATAGTATTCACAAGAATGGGACTCAAGGACACAATAACCTTTGACCACCAAATTCTAAGCAGTTTATTGTAGAGTCCATGTGGACGTTTGTGCAAAATTTTAAGAAATTCCTTCAAGGCCATCTTGAGATATCACATTCATGAGAATGGGAGGGTGCAAGGTCACAGTGACCTTTGACCTATGATCACCCAATTTTTATGAGTTTTTCTTTAACTAAAAGTGGACATTTGTGCCAAATTTCAAGAAACTCCCTAAAGGCCCTCTTGAGATATCATGTTCATGTTCATGAGATGGATACAAGGTCACAGTGACCTTTACCATTGACCACCAAATTCTAAAATTTTTGAGTCCATTGGATATTTGTGCCAAATTTGAAACAAATCCTTCGAGGCCTTCTTGAGATATCGCGTTCACAAGAATGAGATGGTTGCAAGGTCACAGCGACCTCTGACCTTCAACCACCAAATTCTAATTAATTATTCCTTAACTCAAAGTGGACGTTTGTGCCAAAAAAGAAACTCCCTAAAGACCTTTTTGAGATATCGTGTTCATGAAAATGAGACGGATGCAAGGTCACAGTGACCTTGATCTTTTACCATCAAATCAGTTCATTGATGAATCCAACTGAGCGTTTGTGCCAATTTTGAAAAAATGCCTTCTAGGTGTTCTCGAGATATTGTGTTTACGAGAATGGGATGGACAGATGAACATACAACTCCAAAACACCATGCCTCCAGCCACCGCCAGCGTGGAGGCATAAAAACGTACCCATTCATGCATTAAATTATTTTTTTGTCCACTTGGGGGCAGCACAAGACGCTGTAAACAAAACACTGGGGCAACTACAGCATCACGACTGCTGCATTTTATTTTGGTAGTCATTGACTACCTGCAAAAAGTAGTCGATGAGTCAATTAATCGCAGGAGATGAGTAGTTTGATCTCAAGTGTACAGCTCTAAATACAAATGTTAACGACCACCAAGACGAATTGTGATCCAATCACTCAAATCACTTGCCGAGGTGGTCTGGGACGTATATTGACCACATATCTTTTGTAGTGTAGACGCTAATCTGTCCTAAAGTGTCCCTGACAAGGACTACATCAACAATTAATTATAATAACAATAATAATTATTATTATAGTAGTAAGTAAGGTCTCTACATGTTTTACAGACATCCTCCTGTTGGACTTACTTGAGGAGTTTGATGGTTTGTCCTCTGAAGCATGGCAGCCCTGTATCCAGCATGAGGGTCACCAGAGAAACCACTGCGTCCATGTAGGGTCTTCATGTCCACATAAGAAGTGAATAATGACACAAAAAAGTCAAAGTCACAAAGTTAAACCATCATATCAGCTCTGAGTAGAAGACAGACTTCAAACCCTCACATCTCTCAGCTCTTTTCTCCCAGAACAAAGCGTGGAGGATATATAATCTCTTAACAGCATGGATAGCTACTGCAGACATTTATGTGTACACTTTCTTACCGTACAGCCAGATATCCTCTGACACACATCTCCATGAACCACTTGAAAGGCGTGGCCTCCATCTTTCCTCCCATGATCATCACCATCTCGTCTGTCAGCTTGATGTCCGGCTCCCAGCCCAGGTTACCTCCAGGAGAGCTCTCAAACATGAAGCCAAAGTCTGAGGAAAACAAGGAAGAGGAGATCACATTTAAAAAGAAAATGAAAATGTTGTGACAACCAAAATGAAATCTAAGTCCACACCACAGATAAACAATGAGCGCATATATGAGTGTATCATACCTATGTGAATGAGGTGGCCCTTGCTGTCCAGCATGATGTTGCCATTGTGTCTGTCTTTGATCTGCAGCAGGAACAGCAGGAGGCTGTAGGCGGCCATGCTGCGGATGAAGTTATACCGAGCCTGCGGAAACAAGAAGAGAACAACAGCGACATGTCAGTAAAATTCAGCTCATGTTTACTCACATTACACTTCGGCCTAGTTCACACAAATATGGGTATCTTTGAAAACAGGGTTTTTCCACCCTTCGTTCGAAAAAAAAATCACGTCCACACGTGCACTGTTATAAAAAAATCTCTGTCCAAATGAAGATGAGAAAACACAACTGGAGTTCTGTCAAAAGCAAAAATGAAAATGAAGATGATGTTAACTAATCAGAAACCTGAGAGAGAACTATTACTGGAGGGCTACCTGTAGCAGTGACCTCTGTTTCACATTCTGATTAGTCTCGCTCACCAGACCTTTCTCAAGAAAAGAAAGGTCTTGCTGGGCCGACTCTCACTTTGAGATTGGAGAAAAAAACGCCCCGGCTGCTTGTATTTCTTTCAACCAATCACAATCGTTCTGGGCGGTGCCACAGCAACGGTGCGCTTGCAAAAAATATTGCAGGGGGGAAACAGGTTTTGGTGTAACACGCCCACAAAAATATCACCTACAGGACGCGAACCATGGCAGAAAAATGGCTACATCCCCGGAAGATCAAACACCGCAAAAGTTAGTAAAGGACGTGTTGAAAACGGTTGAAAACTGCTACACAACCGGAGGTGGTAGGGCGGGACTTCAGCGGGTGGCTCGTTCCGCCCAATGAGAGGCTGATCTATGCAGCGAACTTCCGCCCACTCAGACTACAATCTGATGCATCTTTTGCATGAGATGCAGCTCTGACGAGGAGGAGCAACTCTACATTCATGTGTAAACATGTACAAGTCCTGTTAGAGGTTAGAGCAAGCACTTTTCTGGGTTAGGGTTAAAGTCTTCCCACCTTCTGGAAGGCAAGGGTGGATTCATCTCCATACTGGTTACGGAAGTAATCGTACATCCCAAAATCCGTCTGTCTGCCGAGTTGGTCTCTGGACTTGCAGTCTGGGATGCACTCGATCACGCCACACTGAGGAAAAAGAGGATGAGTTAATAGAGACATGATTATGAAATAAAAATTCATTTCCATCAGTTGTGATTTGTTAACCAGTGTAATTGTTGAAATAAGGGGATGTGATGACGTGCAGCAAATAGACCGAACCCACAAGTGATAAAAGGTTTTAAACATGTCTCTAGTTTGAGCCATTTATGAATCTAAACCACTTTTTGGGAGCCTAGGATTACCACTTCATGGTTGTATGCCTCCACTAACCAGTCAGGTTATATTTTCATTTAAGTATCTGACCAAATGTCTCCCCTTCTGATCCTGAGACATGATGTTAAGTTGTTAAGTAATGGCCAGAAAAGTGCTTTATGCAGAACATGACAATGTCACAGTGAAGCTGACCTTTGACCTTTTGGATATAAAATGTCATCACTTCATTATTTCATCCTGTTAGACATTTGTGTCAAGTTTTGTCATAATTAGCATATGAATTCTTGAGTTATGGCCTAAAACATGTTTTGTGAGGTCACAGTGACCTTGACCTTTGACCTATTCTTCAGTCCAAGTGGATGTTCGTGTCAAATTTAAAGAAATTACCTTATGGTGTCCTTGAGATATTGCGTTCATGAGAATGAGACAGATGCAAGGTCGCACTGACCTTGACCTTTGACGAACAAAATCTAAACAGTTCATTCTTGAGTCCAAGTGAACGTTTGCACCAAATTTGAAGAAATTCCTGAGAAGCTGTTCTTGAAAAACTGCAGTCACAAGAACAACATTGATGCAAGGTCATGATGACATTGACCTTTGACCACCAAAATTTCAGAGTGAACGTTTGTGCCAAATTTGAAAAAAATTCCTGAAGATGTTCTTGAGATATCACGTGCACAAGAATGAGACAGACAAGGTAACATAGCCCTTGACCTTTGACCTACAACCACCAAAAACGTATCAGTTAATCGCTGAGTCCTAGTGGTCGTTTGTGCCAAATTTGAAGAAATTCCCTTTAAGTATTTTTTGAGATATCGTTCACAAGCATGGGACGGACAACCTGAGAACATAACGCCTACAGCCACAGCGGTTGCTGGTGCAGAGGCATAACAAAAGTGAAAACTGACATCATTTTACACACTGTTCACTGCTGACATTAACTAGATTGTAAAAATACTCTCTGGATTAATTTTAACCTGCAAAGAATGATTATGATGGACATGACAATAATAATATTTACAGTAGATAAGAGTAAACTGGATTTAGAGGGAGTGATGGGACATGAAGTCTTACCCCGGGTGCAGTGGCCACGACTCTGTAAGGGAAGACGAACAGGTCCAGGCCCACCAGCTGGAATATATTCTTAAAGAGCCCAATGATCTGCAGAGCGAGCATGTCCTGGAGACGGAGGAACACAAGAGGGTCACAACAAGAGAAATGATCCCAGTGAATGAGTTCAGTGAGCTGGAAGGAAAGAGAGGTACCTGTCTGCAGTCGTCTCCCACTTTAAAGATGGCAGCCTGCCAGCAGACCCTGCGTGATCCGTCTGGATTCTCCTCTCCGTCCTCCAGAGAGTCCGAGGGGCAGCGGAGACCCTCCCTCTCCAGTTCGCTCACCCCACAGCGCTTCACCTTGAACTTGGCCAGGTAGGGCGCCTTGGCAGCGCTGTGACGACACAGAACACGAGATTAATAGAGAGAAGGTAGCATCCTGTTTTGCTCCGATGCTTCAGACACAAAATCTTGTGTTTTACCTTTGCATGGGCGTTCCAGACTTGTAGTCGATGTCCAGCACGATGGCTTCAGGGTTACTTGGTAGGTAACAGCCTAAAAAACAACAAGAAGAGAGACAACTGAAGTCTCAACTTCAATAACTCGTGTTTTCCGCAGAAGAATATAATAAAACAGACAGACGAAAACAATTCCTTTTAACAGCACAACGGGCAACTGTGTTTCTGTCACTGTCGCTATTTTTAACTATCCATCCACACTGACTATGGAAGAACACGTTACCTGGCTGGACTTTAATATCTGACAGAGCTTTGAGACAGGCCCGTTTCCTCTCCTCTCCCTTTGGAACCGGCCTGGAAAAACACAAATAAATCAGGATTTACGTTACCACAGAAACCTCCCCTTGTTTTTTAACGATTCGTGGCGTAACGGTGATGATTTACTTGAGAATGGCGGACACGTTGGTGATCTTGTTGAAGAAGTCAAACTCTCTCTGGTAGAAGTCTTTGGCCGGACCCAACAGAGAACCTGTGATCTCCTCGACCATCTGCTCCAGCAGCTCCCCAATGTCCGCTGAACACATTAATGAGGCAGGAATTAATGTGATTACATCAACTTCATTGGATTTAATTGGGCCTAATGCAGGTGTTCCCACGAGGCAGATTATATAATTACACATTAACAGGACAAGTTATCACAATAACCTCACACAGAGCAGCAGAAAGGTGCCGATAGAAGGGAATATAAGGAGTACACTTAATGAAATGTGTATTTAAATGTTTTATGAACACACAGAATGACATTGTTCCTGCTGTTAAGCTACATGTTTCACTGCCTCAAAGTTTTCATTACAGTTTTTGAACTCTTCTTCACACTTTAATCTAATAAGTATTCAGCTGCACTGTAAGATGCCATTTTAGTATGAAAAACACCTGAAAGAAATCACAGCAGCTCAACAGTTCACCACGTCATGTGACATCACAGTAATAATGACATTAAAGGCAAAAACACACCGTCGGCAAACGGTACATGTAAAAAAATATGCCCCTATTATTTTCAATGGACACCCCTGCACCAGCGGTGGCTAGATGCCCTGCGACACTTCACACCACTGTCCTATCTCCAGCCTCACCGGCCCCAGAATTAAATGCATTTTGCCCCCACTCGCTCTCTTCTTGCACACACCAGCTCCTGTCGCAGCTCTTCTTCTCTGCTCATGTGGCAGCTCAACTCCTCTCCTCACCAGTGATGTATAAAGAGAACTCTGTAGCTGTTGCTGTGTCTCGTGTGATGAAGAAGTATGGATGAGGAGAGACTCATTGAGGTCGAGAAATATCCCGCGCTAATCAACCCACAATCCTGTCATTATAAAGACAATGGCCAAAAAGATACTGCCTGGCGAGTCATCGCTCTGGAGATCTTCTCCTCAGGTGAGAAATCAACTTTAAAGGCCCGGTGTGTAAAATGGGTTGAAAACAGTGACATCAGTGGCCAAATTCTAGATTGCAGGGCTCACTCGCTCACCCCTCCCGTCAGGTAAATGACGGCGGCCTCGTAGGGACCAAAAGCCTTGCGCATGAGTTTTTCCAGGAGTAGGTCTATCTAGCGACGAGGTGTATGTTTATTTAGAAATCTAAACCATGTTACGATATTGTAATGAATCCCTCACGAAAAGGAGACCAGAGGAGCGTTCGGGAAAAAGGCCCATTTATTTGAGCACTCCAGAAACTCCGGTAACACTCCAGGGGGTAAAAGACTCCGTCCCAAACTCTGACTCTTCTAGCGTAACAGACACACTTCATAACTTTACATACATACTCGTTTACCATTCGGAGTGGGGACCCCCCTCCCCTCTCTGCTCAATCTCCAGCCCGCACACTGACTGACAGCGTAGCCTGTAAACAGAGCTCAGCTGTTTATTTAGCCTAGCAATATCTCCGGACTATAGTAGCTGCAATGGACGACTTTGAACGCGATTTTGAAGAGTTTCTTGTAGCGGACACAGAACCAGAGCCATACCTGTTTGAGCCGGAGCAAACAGATGAGGAACTCCATGTGTTTGATGCTGAGCGGGTGAGAAGAGAGGCTGAACGCACAGAATGGGATTCGGTGCTACTGCTACCATCGCTGGGAGATATATCACCAGGAGGAAAAGCGCAGCAGAGAGTGCATCAAAAGCGCAGCAGAGAGTGCATCAAAGTTGCGTCTATTCCTCGCAGATGACGGTTCGGGTTCATTCTCTCCTGTTGCGTGGTAAGTGTGGTCCATTCGCAAACTTTAGAACCAAAAAAACTTTTCACTACTCTCTATCGACGAACTACTAACACTCTGCTGTTTCTTCCTCCTTCTTCCTTCCTTCCGCTGTCTTCGTTGGTTCATTTATACACGCGAAACGCATTCTCTGGCTGGCTGGATTGTCCGCTCGGGCTGCCGTACATACATGGCGGTGCAAGATGGCGACCTCTCTAAAGCAAGGCCATTGATATATATATATGTATAAAAGCATAATTATAAGGCTACAAAAACCAAACGAATTTTATTTTATAGCGATTATACACTTGTATAAACATATTAATGGGTAGAAGATTCAGATTCAGATTCAGATTGACAACAAACCATGCCAAATAATACACACTGGCCCTTTAATTATAGTGAGTGAGTGTCCACACATGATTTTAAACTAAAACAGAGGTGGAAGAGGTACAGATCTTTCAATAAGAGTAGTAATAACTCTGCATGGTCGTCCATTGATGAGCTGCAGGGCCACCTGTCCAGTGTGTGCCAGGGGCGGCACTTGACGCGCATCACATGACACATTGTGGTGGTGCCAGTGTGTTTTGAGCTTCAGAGGTCAGACTCCAGTGTTCAGCTTCAACAGTTGTGTGTTGATTGGAGAAGGCGTCCTTGTTTGAGTACATATAAGGATGTAATCATGTAATGGGGGGACTGAGGGTCACGTCCTCACCAATTTACGAAAAAGGGAAAATAGAAACCCTCAAAAAGTTGTTGCACCCAGGCAGGTGAAGACAGTATTCCCCAAAAGAAGAAGAAGAAACAATAGAAGAAGATAGTCTGTGTGTAACGTGTGTTCATATTTGTGCAAAGAGACCGACAGAAAGCAGACTGGTAAGACGCAGGTTCAAGGTGAGCGCCAAGACACTATAAACAAAACTTGCAGCCAACCTCGCTGTAACGCAGAGTCTCTACTCACGGTCTTTCTGGTGTCCCTCCTCGTCCATGTAGATGTTGGTCTTCATGTTCCAGATGAACTGATGGGCGAGAAGCTGAGACTTCTGGGCCGCCCACAGGATGTACTCCCTCACATAACCCATCTGAGCAGGACAGAGGAGCAGAGTTTAGGACTAATGCTTCACAACTGACAGTCAAGCTGTTATCAGAACAGCTGCTGATTCATTTCTGTCGACTATTTAAGTTCATGTTCACCTTATCGTAACGGAGAGCCTGCACAATCTGAGGAATGTAGAACAAGATGGCGTCCTAGAAAGAGACATGAACAAATGTAATGTTAGTAGTAGTAGTATGTATTTCTGCACTGTAATAACCTGTGAGTGTGTGACTTACTGGAGGAAAGGAGCGGAGCACTTTGACACCATACTGAGCGGTGAGAGGATGAGGAGGGTACATGCTGCTGAAGTAGGACAGACCGGTAGGCGGGTCAGCTGGAGCCCAACACAGGATGTGGCTCAGCTCAGGAGAGTCGGCATCGATAGTGTGCCACGTCACCAGGAACTAGAAGGTCACACAGTATAAGGAAATATTAACTCACGAACATAAGAGACACATTTTTAAAGCTAATCAGACGAAGCGTTCTCACCTTGACGGCCTCAGGAACGTCACTGACAGCTCCAGGGTCCAGTCTCACCAGCCGCGTTACTTCGGCAACGATGGCGTCATTCTTAAACCTGGGAACCAAGGAGTTAAATATAATCAAATACAAAGGAGATTCAGTTTTTTCAGTGTCTGTTATTTTGTCTGTAAAAGTGTATTTTGAAACAAGAACACGTCACGTTTGCTGAGCAGAAGTACTTGAGGTAACAGTTGAAAAAAAAAATCCAGAGAACAACCATAACTTTGGGTTTCTACAGCCATGTCTGAGCCATGAGAGAGAGTGACAACCTTGTTGGTAGCTGCATAGCCAGGTAGGGTGCGATACCCCATGCCAGGTTGACGTTGTCCTTCCACTGTTTCTCGGTCAGACTGATGTATTTGGACCTCCAGTTGGCAATGCTGGTCTCCACTGACTGCTCCGTGGCGATGGCCAGCTCCTGAGTGGAGAGGGGGTTGTACCACGTCGTCAACCGTTCGATCTCACTGGCCTGGAGAGACAGAATGAGCAGGGAGGGAGATACAGCATGAAGATAACGAGCAGCAGGGTTTGAAACCAGCGAATGATAATTCACTGTCAGCACTCACCAGTAAGGCCAGCAACAGGGTCCTGCGTTTCATGTAGTATTTGTGCAGCTGCGTTCCTCTGTTGCTCTTCTTGGACGTGCCTTAGAAAAGATACAGAAAGTCAAACCATTATGTCACTTAAAGTCCTTAAGCCGTTTTCTATCTGTATCTGTATTTGCGTTCACGTGGACGTCATCAGTCAGAGCCCAGGTACTGCTCCAGTCTGAAGTCATGTACAAACACACACAGGCAGAATCCCAGACATACAGGTAAGAATGCTAAGAAGGTGAGGAAACTGAGAGAACTCCTCAGGATGGAGGTTTGTCTAGCCGTACCTGACTTCTTGGATGCGGTGGACATGCCACTGGACAGTGGGTAGGTGTTGATCCATCCCTGCCCGCTCTGCTGGGAGCGAGCGCTGGAGTCCATGGTGCTCCTGAGGTCGGCAGCGTTCATCACCGACAGACTGTTCAAGGACGAGTCCTGATTATCTGTTCACATACAAATGGAATCAGCATGGCCAAGACACAAGCAGAGATAAACTTGGAGTATATTTGAAGAGAAATCACAGGTCGAAGCTTCCTCCACACGTGGCGCCATCTTCAATATTACGACTTCTAAACAGCGAAAAAAACATCCATAGTATGATCGATGATGAGGGAGCTTCTACAGAGCGAGATGAGCTGCATCAGTTAGTCCTCTGCTGTCGTGATGGTCATGCATTTGAAAGCAGGTAAAACTAGGGCTGTAACGGTTCATGGATTTGTGCCGAAGCATCACGGTACAGGGTCACAGTTCGGTGTGTGTGTGTGTGTACACTTTATGTAGATTGATGCACATAATGCTGAATGAAAAGTTAATAAGCGCAAGGTCTGCCCTGAAAGTAGGTGTACGGCGTTAGCAACATGTGCTGACATTAGCAAAACATGTTGATTAGCTGCAAGTGAGTGGCAAGCACAAAATAACAAAAATTAAAAAACACAGCAGGGCTGGGAGACCTGCCAACAACACCTGAGAGAGTTGTGTATGAGACGAGGCAGGTGTTTTGGTGTGGCTCCACCGTTGCAGGGGATGTGAATGAAAATCCAACATGCTAATGCAATTTCATGGCATCACCCAGATGTGCCGATAGCCAGGATCATACGGGTTTGGGTCCTTTAAACTTTTAAACATAGCCAAGGGGGAACTAATCTCTATCAAAAGATACTGTTAGGGGTCATGTGGGGGTGGAGCCTATCAGGGTTCACCCTGGACAGGTCACCAGACTATCACAGGGCTGACACATAGAGACAGACAACCATTCACACTCACATTCACACCTACGGACAATTTAGAGTCACCAATTAACCTGCATGTCTTTGGACTGTGGGAGGAAGCTGGAGCACCTGGAGGAAACCCACGCTGACACAGAGAGAACATGTAGACTCCTGGATACAGCGTTGGAGGCAAGGCCACATTTGTTTTTATCAAATTTGCTCAGCAGCACATGAAGCCAAAAAAGCTTTAGCTCTTTACTGACTTAAATGGGGATAAAATAATTTAATCGTGTGGCTTTTCTAGATTTTAAAAATGTTATCAGACCAAACGGATCAAATCTTGATCGTAAAACAGGTCATTTTGCAGAGGTTGTCACACACAAAAAGATGTATCCACTGATTTACGGACGTCTTTCACCATGTGAGTCAATGAGTAAGTCTTTTTGGGCCCCATGGTGTTGTTATTTTTTATTTTTCTATGTGTTTTAGTATCTTTTTAATTAGACAACATATGTTTTAGAGCCTGCTGTGACCGGATGCCTTTTCGAAAAGAGTTCAGTGTTCGTATAGTGTCATACAAGTGTTTGAAATGTTCCTTTTTATTGTTAATGACAGAATGTTGCCTCGTCCCCAGCAGGAGGATTTTGAAAAGAAACATCCTCATGCATTTGTTGATTTTTTTTTTTTCCCACTGTACTGAACTCGCACCAAACCATGACTCCTGTGTACCGTTACACCCCTAGGGAAAACCAGCAGCATCTATATGTAGGTAGAAGTTGCCTTGAACCACTGATACTGGGTCAGATATTACTGGTCCTGTTAATGCGCGGGGGCAGGGTGGGGGGGCTGTTGGTAGATTAATCTGATCCAGGATCAGCAGTTAGAGGACTCGTCTACCTGAAGCGCTTCGATGTGTATGAGAATGAGACCATGTCTTTTCTCTGGGTCGTCGGGAATGAAGAGGAGAGGATTTTCTGGGATGGAAGAAAAAACATTTTTAACTTGTAGTTTCTTCTTTTGGAGTTGATCAATTGAGGAGAGGGGCAGACGGGTGGGGCTGACATGATGAATAATCATGCGTCTTGACGCAGCTGACAAATTTGCGCTTTTCCTCACTGCTGCTTAACGTAAAAGACAGAAAACAGATTGTAAAAGTAAAAGGAGTAAGATAGAATAAGGAGAAAGGGGAAAAGCTGTAACAGCAAGAAAATAAGAGGGACGCTGTTGAGAAAACAACTATAAAAAGATGGGTTTGTGTCACAGATAGATACCAGGATCTATCAGCAGCATCGTGAGGACACACAGCGTCAAATTTGACAGGCGTGAAAGCATGCCCCTGCTGCGGTGCAGTCTGAGCTCCACCGCTTTTGGCTTACTTAAGATAGAAATCGGAGAAGTGCTGGACACGATAAGCGATCCAAATATCCCGGCAGAGAGCGTGCTCGGGGCTGGGGTAGTACCAAGCTCACCAGGTGGGACCAAGTGGCACGCTGCCAGGTACTTCTTGTCGGACAGGATGCTGGCGTAGAAACGGATCATGATGCTGATGTCCTCGCGCAGGTTCTTGTCGCCTTGGGTGGGGAACTTTGGAGACACGCTGGAGGGACAGAGAATGGAGAGTTAGAGTATCAGTCGTTGAGTTAGTCAATATAATCTCTTTTTAATCATGTTTTATGTGCCTTTAATGTTTTTACTAAAGCTTTGTGCAATTCAGATATTCTTTGTGAGTCAGCATACAATTAATAAGGTAAAAATATTTCTATCATTCTGACAGATGTTACAATTGGGATATGAGTCGCCATTTTAGTTTGAATGGTAATTTTTGCATTATCACTGAAAAACTATAAAAATGATGACGTTGTGATTTCTGCTGGGGCCTGTACCTGTACAAGAGTGTTCTCTTATATCTAAAATATAATCTATGGGCCAGGGGATGTCTTAAGCACCGCAATGATTTATTTTTAATGTTATGTTATGACACAGTTTGCCTTTAACAAAAAATTGCAGCTCCTGCAAATTGGATATTGTACTCAGCCACATTGCAGTCTCAGTAATATTTTGATTAATAGTGCAGCCCTACATTTAATCTCTATCAGCAGATATGTGCACATGAATAGAGAATCTGTAGGTAGCGGTACATGATTTTGGTATAGGAAGCATTCTGGTTTCCTTTTGAAGCTCTGCAGGTAAACAGTCTGTGTAGAGAGTAAAAGATGTGAAATGCCTTAGCTGAAATGCAATCTTAGAACCAATCGGCTATATTCTGGCAACTCTTTAGTTTTTATTAGCTTTTTGTCCGATTGATTTTTTTTGTCTACATTTATTCGCGGATATCTGTTTGTAAAGATAGGCTAAAATGTTGTCTGGACCTGTCTCAAGTGGTTTATTCAACTGTGAACAATGAGCGCTGCACAGAAGAGGAAGTTTCGGCTTGGAAATCCACTGGCTACACCAGGACCCTGAAATACTGGAGGATTTAAGGATTGAACTGAATCAAGTCTAAAAGTTGTCAGCCCTGTTTGGGGCTCTATTAGACTGTAGTAAGGCACATCAGTGTTTTAAGCTAATATTGGCAAGCTAACATGCTCCCAATGACAATGCTTACATGATGATGTTAACCACGTTTACAATGTTAGTTCAGCGTGGTAGCATGCTAACATTTGCTACTTAGCAATTTACTACTTTCCATTATTTGTTCCTTTGGGTTTTGGACTGCTGTTTGGACAAAACAAGCAACGTGAAGACACGATCTTAGGCTTTTAGAGATTGTGTTAAACATATTTCACAGTTTACTGACATTTTATGGACGTTTTCATACATACAGTTAATTAAAACTACAGTCACTGTCTCATGGCTGTGTGCCTCTGCGAACCTGTCAAGTTGCAGTTACAGTTTATTGTACTCCCTAATCACTTAATCATTTTATCTACTGCGACATTTGTGTGAAATGTTGTCATCATTTGTGTATGAATTCATGAGTCATGATTTATCCATAAGTTCAAGTGGACGTTTGTGCAAAATTTGACTAAATTCCCTCAAGGTGTTCTTGAGATATTGCATTCACAAGAATGGGATGGACAGATGATCCAAAAACATAATGCCTTGGGCCCTGACTATCACTGGTGTGGAGACATAAAGATGTTACACTGATTAATTGACTGCATGAAAATGTTTGCTGCACCCTTACACTTGACTAAGAGTGTGTGCACAGAGTGTGTGTGAGTACCTGAAGTAATCAAAGGCTGTAGAGTAGATCTTCTCTCTGAGCACATTTCTCACAGTTGAATTGGTGAGGACGTCAGAGTGGAGCAGAGCCAGACCCAGAGTCAGCAGCCTGAAGCACAGAGAGACGTCATCGCTATGGACACATGTGCCTCTCAAAATGCTACTTGATTTTTCATCAGCACACTTAAACCAACTTCCTTAGCTTATTGTGAAGAACCCTTAAAGAGTGAACAGACATTAAGTGACAGGAGGCTGCCTACAGATTAAACATAGGGACCACAAAACATACTATGAATCATCTTTAAGCTTTGTGTGTGTGTGTTTATGTACCTGAAGCGAGGTCCAATGGCAGCTACATGGCGGTTGAGGCTACTCTTAGCCCCGCCCACGTTCAGAGATAGTGAGCGTTGCAGCAAACTGCCAAAGATCTCCACTTGATCTGCACTGGAATACTTTGCTATCTCAAACCTCTGGACCAGAAACTACAGGCAGACATGAGACAGCATTAAGTGGGAAGGAAGAAGACTGATAGCAGCATGAATTAATAACCCAGCAGAATGTCTTTTGTCTGACCTCGATCCATATTTGGTGAGGGGTGACGTCTGGAGGGCAGGGGATAGGCTGGCTTTCCTCTGACGCAGCCAGAGGATCAGCCTCCACCTGAGCGTCAGAGAACAAGCCCATCTTTAGCTCCACGGTCATCTGCCATGCTCCAGCCATCTCCCGCATGAACTAGGTGGCCAAGAGAGGAGATAGTTAGTGTGTATACAAATTTACTGACAAGACAAGGACACAAAATGAAAAATAAAACATCTCTGTACCGGTACTTCCACTCCAACACGAGCTGCCAGCAGCCACTCCCAGCAAGCGATGGCTGTCTCCATGCCGTGTGCCGTGAACATCTTGAGAGGAGACCAGCAGAGGTGGTGCAGGAGCTGAGGATCGCAGTCTGGAGACAAGTCAAGAGAAAGAATCAGTCAGACAAGTCCAGAACATTTCCGTACGTTTAAAACAAAGCATTATCATATGAGTTAACACTGCAGAGATGAAGCGTAACCTTTGGTGCTGATGAGCAGGGCAGCCAGTTTGAACATGGCTTCAGTGAAGGCCTCAGGCTGTGCAGAGTCTAAAGCCTCCCCCATCTGCTTGATCATCAGCCGGCTCAGATCCGACTGTCCTCGGACTGCCTGGGCGAAGTGGATCATACCCGACACCTACAGACAGGAGAGAAGAGATGTGAGCAGGAAGCAGAAGTATGAAAGTGTTTGTGTGAACAGGATCCAGCTGCATCTCGTTACGGTTGCACTAGGGCTCCATTACCACTCCAACAAGGCTCCAATGTGGACCAGAAAAGTTACAGAAAACAAGCGTCTGTTCCAAAGACGTCGCATTTCTAATGTAGAAGTGTTAAAGTAGTTTTGCTGACACTTTACATGTCTTACAAACGTATAGAATATACATTTACAGCTAGATTTAAATGTGTTACAGATGCTTTAAGGCTGTACTTTGAGACATTAAGCATTGTGTTGCTTCTAACTAGGGCTAGGTGATGCATCAATAGCCACTGATACTGTGATATGAGACTCTTAAATGATCATATATCATAAAAATCATATCTCTTTCATACATGCATGCTTGATGGTCCTTGTTTGCTTATCGATTGTTTTTAATGTCTTTAGTCGTTAATGCTCAGTATCACTGAAAATGAAGGTCTCCCTCAGTTGATTTATGGAGTCTTAAATAAAGGTTTGAATGAACGAACAAATCTTATTGTGTAAATACTTTGTGAAAGCACCAGTAAGCAACCCTACACTATCTTCATATTGTCCAACCCTAGTTCTAACTTCATAAAATGGCAATATAGAAAATCTCACAATACAGCTGTTGTTGTTAATCTGGATTTATGTTTACGTTGTCAAACAACGTTACAATCACTAACAGAAGGTCTCAGCCATGATCAAACTATGATTCATACTTGTCCCAACAGAACCAGAAAAACAACAAGCAACTAAGAACAACTAAACACAGTATAGGTGACAACAATTCGCCAGATAATGTGTTAAATGTTTCTGATGACCATGTCTATATGGTGAACGATTAAGGTATATATTCTATTGTATTCTGTTCAAATAATGGACGTGATCTGGTGGATTTTACCTCTCCAGCGTATCTGTTCCTGAGGTTGAGGGAGGCCATGAAGTTAGAGTAGTCCTTCTTCACACAGGCGGGCCTCTCTGTCAGCTGCATGGACTACAGGTGGGAGCATATGAAGTTAAGTTGATTATGTGGACATAGTACAAAATGTCAAAACTGCCATCACATTTATGAAACAAATGTATAGCTATAAATGAAGAAGCACTGAAGTAAGTAGCTGTAGTATGTGGCGTCCCACAGGGCTCCATTCTTGAGCCACTTTTGTAAACCAATGATATTGCAGTATTAATAAGCATTAGCATGTGAAAGTAAGTTTGTGGCTTACCCCCAATGTGGTGCTCTGTCTGTTGTAACCAGCAAAGTGCAGAATGCTCTCTGTGGCCATGGCCAGGCCGGTGTGCTGGGAGAGACCCGACACCCAGTTCTGATGTTTGTTCAGATACTCCTGGAAAAGACCACATGAAGTATAGCAGTTGAAGACATGTGAAATGTATACATCATATGTGCTCTACATGTGGATGTTTTCCAAAAGCCAAACTATAAAATAGCATTGAGAATACCCACAAAACGACTTCTGTGTTGCTGTTGGGCCAAATACTAACGTAGAGATGACGATCAGTGCAAGCAATATGTAATTTAAAAAAAATTAAACATCTGTTTTGATCTTATGACGTCTTTAAACAGCATAAAACCATCTAATTTTTGGCTTTTTTGCTTTAAATTCGATGACCAAAATAGTTGCCAATTCATTTTCTGTCGACTAAGTGTTGCAGGTCAACTGTACAGACCTCAGTGTTTTAAATCAAATGTTACCTGGAGGTGTGATTTGGTCACAGATGGCGCCCACTTCATAGCCTCTTTAAGGATTTCTCCACAACGTGCAGCAAAATCCTTCACGATGCTCTGTGATATCAGACATATTACATCTTAGATCATTTTAAATTATACAAACAGGTCAAGACAAACTGTAAAGACAGTACACAGTGATGAACACTGATGATGAATTAGACACATTACCTCTCTGGCTTCATATGTATCTGGGACAGTGATTCTGTGTGGTGTGTCCGGGATGTCATAATAAGGTTGGTCTTTATGAATGTCCTGCAATCGCAGCATAAATATCACCATTAATGCTGCGGTATACACATCCCTTAAGTATAAAGACAGACGCTACACTGATGAATAGTCCACTTTATGCCATGACTTACTGCACTGAGTGAGAGGGACAGCGTCTGCAGGATGTCCAACATGGTCCTCAGCACACGGCCACTCCACAACAAGTGGGGGAAACTGAGGAGAGAGACAAATACTGTTGACACTGCTGCATTTTAAACAGTTTATAACGGAGTCCCTGAAGTGTTCTTAGTAGAAGAGCATGTGTATCTTTGCACTCTCACGTTTCAGCCAGGCCAGACAAATATTTGTCCGCCACTCTGCGGATCCTCTTGTGGATGTGGTTGAAGTTGACCAAGAGGAACTGAGCGTGACGTTCCAGCTCCTCCTCATGGGCTTTGGTTTTTGGCTGGAAATATAACATTTTGTTAGGATTAGGTCAACAACTACAGCTGTAACAAATAATCAATGAGTTGCCAACTATTAAATGAATCCCCAACTAATTAATCAATTACCCTGTGTGAGTAATCAATTAAAAAAGTCAAAATTCTCTGATTTCAGCTTCTTAAACGTGAATATTTTCTGTTTTCTTTCCCCTCTATGACACTTGACTTAATATTTTTGGGATGTGGACAAACACGACATCTGAGGACATTATCTTGGGACAATGAACGTATTTGCCCTATTCACAACTGACCGCAGATTATTAACTCAAAAATCAATAGCTTGGTCTTTGAAATGCCAGAAAGAGGTGCAAAATGCCTGTCTTTTATGTTCTAAAGCTCAAGGTAACATCATCAAATGTTATGTTTTGTTTTGGGCCAACAGTCCGGTGTTTGGTAAAGTTTGGTTTTCATGATAATAAATAGAGAAAAGCAGCAAATCTTCACATCTGAGAAGCTACAAACTGAAAATGTTTGGTATAAATTTCCTGGAAAAAAATTGGTAAAGGAAAACTTTACTGATTTTCAACCAGCTCTGTGTGATCGGAGTGTGAGCAGATTAATGCTGTGTGGCTTTTCCTGTGCTGTTCTCGCCAATCTGCTGGCCAAAGTCCCCCAGGTGACACATTTTGCATCATAAAGTATCATCAGTTATGCAAAACATGTCACTGTCCTCACTGCAATGACACAGAGCTGGTTGAAAACCTTTAACGTTTCCCTTTAAATGACTGAAATTACCAAAAAGTTGTCAATTTCTTTTCTTTCAATCAACCAATCAATTATTAGATTGACCGATTCAACTTCATCACTGTCAGAGGCACTGAATTGGAGTTTTTCAATTTTGCAGTTCATCTCATCAACAAAAACTCCTGGAAAATGATGAAGTGTAAATTAAGTGTTCTCTGTTGTTGAATATAACTGAGGAGGCGAGGCTTTTTTAACTGCAAGAGTACAGTATATTTATCCCAGAGGAAGGCTGGGCAAAGTGGAGAGCTGCTGTAAAGGAACTTTAAAAAGCATGTTTAAGGCAAAATTACTGTTTTTGTCAAAGGAGTCTGGTGGCTTTAAAGAGAGCACAGATAACGGCTTCAGTAAAGCTTCTGCTGCAGGGTAAAGCAGTGATAGAAATATTCTAAATAAAGACTATCCCTTTAAGACTTAAGCACTACTTCTCTCTCAGTGGTGAAAGAGAAGTGGTGCTTTAAATCTTAGGCACAGTTTCCACTGCTGCAGTGATAAATCAGGTGCAGAAGCTACTTGTATTAATTTTCATTCCTCCCCTTGTATATTTTGTACCTCTACACAGGAACACCTCGATATATTTATTGCATGAGCCACAATTTTCAATTTTTCTTTTACGATACTGGCACAAACCCTTGGTGCACTTTGACTGTTTGGTGCCTTAAATCTGAGCCTAAGGTCCTCAGTAGATATCCCCCAGAGGGTCAGAATTAAAACACACTCTCAACAGGATATGTGTTCTTCTTCAGTGAAAACATCTGCCTTACTTTTTCAGCCATCATGTGCAGGAAGACTTCAAAAACCTTGTCGCTAACAGCGATCACACACTGCATCATTCCTGCAAAGAATATATGAAATATTAATGCATTTAATAAACAAATAATTGCACAAGCTTGTTATCATTTTGTTCTTCTGCTTACCAGATTTATCCTTTTGTATCGCTCTGTCTTCAAAGTATCGAAACATGACCTGAAAACGGTCCGAGTCCAGAGCACGCAGCATCCTGACAGATAAATATTGAATAAAAATTTGAATTACCACCCCTTGGTTGTGCGTCTCTGCACACCAGTTAAGTTTCTTTGACAGCTTACATTCATGTCTGTGAAAACATGGATCATTAATTATGATCATGTCGTAATTACCACATGAATTCTTGAGTTACAGCTAAAAGTATTTTGTCATACTAACCTTCACCTTTGACCTTCTAATTCTAATTCTAATCAGTTTATTCTTCAGTCCAAGTGGACGTTTGTGTCAAATTTAAAGAAATTCCCTTGAGGTGTCCTTGAGATGTCGCTTTCATGAAAAAGAGACAGATGCAAGGTCACAGTGACCTTTACCATTGACCACCAAATTCTAATCAGTTCATTTTTGAGTCCATTGGATATTTGTGCTAAATTTGAAAAAAAATCCTTCGAGGCCTTCTTGAGATATCGTGTTCACAAGAATGAGACGGTTGCAAGGTCACAGCGACCTCTGACCTTCAACCACCAAATTCTAATCAACTACTCCTTGATTCAAAGTGGATATTTGTGCGAAATTTTAAGAAACTCCCTTAAAACCTTTTTGAGATACTGTGTTCATGAAAATGAGCAGACGCAAGGTCTCAGTGAACATGATCTTTTACCATCTAATCAGTTCATTGTTGAATCCAAGTGGACGTTTGAGCCAAATTTTAAGAAACTCTCTCAAGACCTTTTTGAGATACCATGTTCATGAGAATGAGATGGACGCAAGGTCACAGTGACTTTGATCTTTGACCATCTAATGAGTTCATTGATGAGTCCAAGTGGCCGTTTGTGCCAAATTTGAGAAAAAATCCTTGAAGGTGTTCCTTGAATTTCCTCGACCTTAAACTTTTACCACCGAAATCCAATCAGTTCATTGTTGAGTCCAAGTGAATGTTTGTGCCAAATCTGAAGAAATTCTCTGAAGATGGTCTGGAGAAATTGCATTCACAGGAACGAGACAGACAGGGTCACAGTGACCTTTGACCATCAAAATCTTATCAGTTCATCATTGAGTCCAAGTGACTGTTTGCGCCAAATTCTCTCCAGCTGTTCTTGAGACAAGGCGTTCACGAGAATGAGATGGATGCAAGGTCACATAAACCTTGACCTTTGACCCTTAAGTCAATCTGTTAATCATTGAGTCTAAGTGGACATTTGTGCCAAATTTAAAGAAATTCCCTCAAGGTGTTCTTGAGATATCGTATTAACAAGAATGAGACAGATGCAAGGTCACAGTGACTTTTACCTTTGACCTATGACCACTAAAAAACAATGATTTCATTGTTGAGTCCAAATGACTGTTTGTATTCTTGAGATATCGCGTTCACAACGATGGGACCGACAACCAGAAAACTTAATTCTATCGCCAGCAAGTAGGTATAATGATGTACAGAATTATAATCACGAAGCATAGTTAAGCACACAGGTTAATATGTACGATGTTGACACGTCAGCATACCTCATGTACTCCAATCTGTAAACAGACAGCAAATACGTGGACATGGCAAAGTCCAGCTTGTTGATGAGAGCAGCCACCTCAGGAGGAGGATCCAGCAGGTTGATGATGGTGCTACGCAGATCATTCAGCTCCGCCTGAAACGCGACAACAAACCGTGAACAAGGGCCAATTTCATGTGAGCGTGTTTGAGCATGTGTGTGCATGTTTGTGAGTGCTCTCATACCGGAGTGACAGTGTCATTCTTCAGTGCAGAGTTGTACTGCAGCTCTGAGCGTAAAGGCTCCCCACTGGGAAATGTGAGCAGCGGCGATTTGGTCGCTATCTCACAAACTCCCTCATACCACTCCTCTGGCCACAGACCTGAGGATGTCAACAGAAACAGATCACGATGCTGAAGGCTGATACATTAGATCATTTTCAAATTGAATGCAAACACATGACCTCATTCAATGTTGTGTGTATTGTGAACAAAGTGTACCTGAGCCTTCCACAGCAAATCCCATGACGACAGAGTAGAGCCAGAAGTCCCTGAAGAGCTTCTGCAGACGTGGCTTTGCTTCCTTAATTGGTGGCAACCGTTTAGTCAGCTAACAGCAGGAGAAGAAGAGAGAGAAAGGAGCTCTGTGGTTATCGAGGTATACAGTTGATATAACCCTAAAGAGCATTTCAAATTATTTACTTGTAGGGTATCATCATGGAGTTTCAGGTGCTTAAGAAGCATATTGACCTTTGTATATCCCAACTTATATGTGTGTTAGGTTTCTACTGACCCACACCAACCATGTTGAAAGTATAAACAACACTTACCACTGCGATAACTGGAATCAGGACACCGAGGTTTCCAGCACTGCTCGATGCCTGGAGACACAAAGGAGGAGAGAAGATCTCTGTAACCTTCCAAATCTAACAGTCCAACAATCATACAGTGATTGGACAGGAGGAGTTTGAGCCTCTTTCTCAAGCTCCCTTTTCTGCTACTTCCATCACTTCCACAACCAAGTGCAGCACAAACTGTGCCTTCAGGGAGAGACCGTTCTAGAGTATGAGCTATTGTTCCCATTTTTACAATTCACTGCGACTAGAATAAAAGACAAACACAGCTGGACGCATGATTCTCTGAGAGATATCAGGGAGGCAGTGGGATGCAGCCAAAGTGGAGGCTATGGTCAAAGATTCACCTGCTTATTAACCATTTGCTCGCAAAGACATCCGACTGAGTTGTGAATGGAATTGTTCAAATACTTGCCATCCAGTAGAGGGCACAACCAGGAAGTCAGATCGTAGAGAACTTCCAGATTTGCATCACGTAAACAATAAACATGGCAACACTCAAGTAGGGTACTATATTGTTAATTCTGAAATCAAGGCGGAAAAAGCGACAGCAGTGCCATCGTAGATATGTATCAAGAAAATCTGTCCACGTCTCAGTTCATTTCAAGCACGCTGAGCCCTTAAATTCTATACGATCTTGTTCAGACTAAAAATAGCACTGTGTCAAAAAAAACTTACATGTCATACACTGGCATGACATTTCTTACGTGTTGCCAAAGCACAACTACAATTTAAGACTCTTACCTTACAGAGAGAACTCAGACTGTGGTCGCTGATGGTACCCAGTCAAGCCAACTAGTCATCAGAAACGGGTTGCCACAGGGGTCTATCCTCGGTCCATTGTTGTTCACGTTATACATAAATAATATGGTTATTCCTAATCAATACTTCAACGTCCATTTTTTCGCTGATGATACTATTTTATATGCTTCGGGCTCCACTCCAACCGAGGCTCTGAATCATCTACAGTCTGCCTTTGATGATTTTCAACAATCACTCATTAATCACAGACTAGTTTTAAATGCAGAAAAGACCAAGTTCATGGTATTCTCTACCTCCACCAGTGACTCGGGATATCCTGCCATCAAAACTTTAAATGGCAGCCATATTACTCAGGTTGAGTCCTACAAATATCTCGGAATTACACTCGACAGTCGAACATTCAAGACTCATATTCAACAGTTGACTCAAAAATTAAAAATCAAACTAGGCTTCCTGTATAGAATTAAAGGCTGTCTGTCTTCTTCCAGCCGTAAAACTATTGCGCAGTCAACCTTCATGTCTGTTCTGACTATGGTGACATTCTGTATTGTCATGCTGCTCCATCAACACTCCAGCAGTTAAACCCTGTGTATCACAGTGCATTACGGTTTATCACAAATGACGCATTTCGTACTCATCATTGTTCTCTGTATCAAACAGTTGGATGGACTTCCTTACAGGCAAGAAGAAATATCCATCTCATGTTATTTATTTTTAAAGCTCTACTGTTAAAGCTACCAAACTACCTCACATCTCTTCTCTCTTTCAAATCCAGTAACTACAGTACACAATCCAGTGACTACCTAACCTTAGCTATCCCCTGCATGCGCACAAATGTTGGTAGATCTGGTTTCAGGTACTATGCACCTTTTAAATGGAACGAGTTACAATCAACCCTCAAACTTGAATCTCTTGTTCCTCTTGGAGTTTTTAAAGCTTCTCTATCTCTATTTTCATGATTCATGTAATTGTTTTTATTAATTCCTTGTTGTGTTGTTCCTGCTTGTGTCTGTGTGTTTTTGTTGTTATGGATGTTGCTTTGTTCTCAGGTCTCTCTTGAAAAAGAGATCTTGATCTCAGTGAGACTGCCTGATTAAACAAAGATTCAATTAAAAAAAAACGTATGAAGTGAAGGAGTAAATAAAAAGGCAGAGTGAGATCTGTGATGAGATGAACTATATGTTGTGTTGGTTGTCTCTCAGGGTGTGACATCACTGACACGCTTTGCTGCATCTGTGGTGCTGACACCATTTTCTCCAGGCAGATGTTGCATCTTAGGGGCCGCACACGTGCCGCGTCTTTAACCGCCTGGAAAACACGAGGTCGGGCTCTGGGTGCTACTCTTGTGCCTTTTCTCTGAGAGCTGTCAAGAGCGCAGCAGTAGGTTGTGTCTGAGGTTGCTAAGCAACCATAACAAGCATCATATAGCCTGTTTATCTGAAATCCTGAGTGCAGAGCTGATCTTCTTCCAGGAGCTGTTTATAAGTGTGTAGGCCTGTCGTCTGTGGGACAGATGCAAAGCTCTCCCTGCACTAACATGATCAACTTTTCCGTGTTTATCAGACTGAATATTTACAGAAGAAGGGAAAGATATCTGTCGGCTGTGATTGGTTGGTCATTGACATGACATGCTGTGAGCGCTGCTGCCTTCCAAAAGTTGAGCTCTCAGTCCCTCAGTCTGGTCAGAGAGTGAATCAAAATCTCGGAGTTTACATTTAATTTTTGTAAAGAACTTTGTTGTGATGTCTTCATATGTGCTGCACTGGAGCAGGAAACGTTGCTCTCTCTCAACCTGTCTCTGAGGACAGAGCTGACACAGCCTGTCTTCTCTAAGCACCCAGGTCTGTCTGTGTCTGCCAGTCTCTTTAATCAGGCTGTGATCACTGAGTCTGTACATAGTCAGTATGTTTCTCAGTTTCAGATCTGTCACAGTGGTCAGATAGTTTGCCATCGTGTACTGTCTGTTTAGAGCCAAATAGCACTGAAGTTCATTTTGGGTTTTTGTGGTAGATGTCCAATAGTTGATGCAGTTTTCTTTTTCTTTAGCTATGATCAAGTTGGGCTGGACTGCGTGACGGCTGTCCTGAGGCCTTGTGCTGTTAGAGGTGAGCCTCAGGACCAGCTGACGGAGAGGACTCCTCTCTCCAAATGTCCTATCCACATGTTTGATGTCAATATCAAAATAAGGTCAGAAAAAAAGGGCATGAAACACTCCTATGAGGCAGTAGGGAAAATGTCACATCACATGGCAGACAGCAGAGAGATGACAGAGGGAGACCTGCAACAATGGTCTCCACCTGGAGGCAAACTGGAGACCTTGCTGTTCGTGGTTGACACAGCTCCTTCATCCTTGCACTTTGAGAAGTACAATAATATCCTATATACTGTAACAGAAGACATCCTAGCTGGAGTAAACACCTGCATGCTTTCAATGACGACACTATGCTGGAGCAAAGCTTGAGACAAGATCATGTTTTCGCCGGCATACATTTTTAGAGCACCTCCCCACCTGCGCCAACGCTGCAGCCTCCTCTCTACTGTGTTTGTAAATGTGTGTGTGTCGTACCTTCAGAGCTGGGCCTTTGTCTGAGGCCCTCTCGCTGGCTCTCTTCCCTTCCAAACCCAGCTGGACGAAAAGCTCCAGCAGGTTGACCAGCAGCTCGTCCACCATCTGCTCCGCCTGGAGGTTCGCGGCGATGTTCCCCAGAGCATTTATCACCGCCAAGGAACAGTGTCTGCACGCAGGAGAGGGGACATCCATTTACTACACTGTCATGACACACACACGGGGAGCAGCACATTCTCCCTCTTTCTCATGTGCTCAGCAGCTGCAAAGATCTGTAACTGTGTCACCTGTATCCGTGGTCCTTGTAGTCTTTGGTGGAGTAGACCATGGAGCTGGCTTTCACACTGATCTGCTGGAACAAATTCCACACTTCCTGGTAGATGTATTGCTGAGATGAAAGACAAATTTACAGCGTTAGATATGTTAAAAACAAGTATTCACATCAGCTGAATCTGATACAGCTTTTAAATAAACGACAGAGATATAAAACCTTACATTGCCTGTGATGACCATGCAGCCGAGCTGGTCTATGATGAGGACGTCGAGCTGGGACGGAGGCTGACAGAACTTCTGCTGCAGGATCTGGAGAATGGGCTCCATCACTCTGGGGGTGTCCCGCAAGGCCACAGCGATGTGACCCAGAGCTCTGATGGTGTGGTCTGGGATCAGGTGAGCATCCCTGTGGAAGACAGGTAAATACACAATCAAATATCCATCCATACATTTTCATCCGCTTATCCGGGGCCGGGTCGCGGGGGCAGCAGGCCGAGCAAAGCGCCCCAGATGTTCCTCTTCCCAGCAACACTTTCCAGCTCCCGAGGCGTTCCCAGGCCAGATGAGATATAAAATCCCTCCAGTGTGTTCTGGGTCTGCCCCGGGGCCTCCTACCAGTGGGACGTGCCCACGAGGATCCTGATCAGATAACTCTCAAATAACTTGACATTCTCATCAAACTCAGTATAATATGACGCTTAGGACGTACTTATCGTTTTCCTGGTAGATGTAGAGACGGTTCGACAGACTGGCGAGAAAAGCTTCTACGATGACATTATCCATGGTCAGCCCAGCTTTCAGGCACCTGAGGACAAAAGGAGAGATTGAACCTCATTTATCAATCAATCTTACAAACCAGCGCAGATCCAAGAGTGGAAATCATCCGACGATAGGGTTGGTGTGAGGCTCACAAAATGGTCTTACCTCGCCAACCACAGCATAGGATCAGGTGGTGATAAATGTTGGAGCTAAAAACAGTCCTCATTTACATGTCCCACCCCAATATAATCTTGGTTTAGAGGCCTCGCCCTGTGAGTTTACAACATTGAGAGGTATAATTCGGCCAAGAAGAGAAACTTCTCTAAGCCAGAAATGGAAACGTCGACATCCCAGGTCCAATTTAACCAACTGGTTCTGTTTGGCCTGAAAAGTGGCATCAGAGGAAGCTGGAAAAACGCAGCATGGAAAAGAAATCACTGCTGCGCACTCTTTTTAATGATGTTTTAATGATAAATGATATAAATGTGCTTTGGTTTGTCAGTGGTTAAAAAAAAGGAAAGTTGTAGATAGAGCCGGCCACGAGCGGTGTTCAGCCTCAGTCAGCCTGGAGTCAGTCCTACAGAGCCAGGAAACTGTCAGCTGTGATAGAGAGTGCGTTCATGTGGTGACTATACATTTTTAAAGTGATTTAAATGTGGCTGCAAATACTTAGATATCAGGTAACAATTCTTCAACTCAGCCAGATTTACTGGATGAACTCACCTGCAGATGTTGTCGATGGAGATGTCCCGCAGCTGCTCGTACATGGACGGCTGGCTCTTCTTGCTGGAGTGGGTACTGAGGGTTGACTGGGAGTGCTCGTTGGTCACATGGATCTTTATCTCACCACCCGCTGAAAAAACAAACAAACAAAAAGTTAAGATTTGGTGAGAAATCACTGAGCTGGAGATAACACTGTCAGCTGAGTGTTCTGTTGCTACCTGGAGTGTACTGGCTGTGGTACTTGTACAGCTTCACCAGGACAGGAGAGGGAACCACCAAGAAGTCTCTCAGCGACATGGTGACAGAGTGCGCCACCACAGGGAAGCGCTCGCACAGACGACCCAGACCCTGAAGACACAGACAGACGTGTGGATTTGTGTGTACAAATTTATAACTATTTACAACAACCATCTGTGTTTCATGCAGCGCATTCACACGGGATACACTGCATTTGACTTGAATTTACTGACATTGTCCCCTGGATACAGAGGGAACATCAGCTTCTTCAATGACAAAGGCAATGCATGCGTCAACTCCCCACAAAAAACTGCAGTATTACATCATTTGTTCCCCAAATCAGCTGCTGTAAATGTTCCAGTATTAGCTTAATTAGCTACTATCAGGGATCCCTATCCAAACTGTTTATGTAACATGTTTTAAAGTCGATTAATGCTGATTATTTTCTTGATTAACTGATTAATTGTTTGGTCTATAAAATAGCAAAAAGAAAAATTCCATCAGTGTTTCCCAAAGCCCAAGACGACATCCTCAAATGTCTTGGTTTGTCCAAAACTCTCAGATATTCAGTTTACTGTCACAGAGGAGTAAAGACACTAGTTTAATCTGCTTTCACACCGACATGTGGCAACTCGTTGCCTCCAGTCATTTCAGTGAGGGCAAGGCAGCAGAGGGGAAGCTGTTTCAAACAAGGCGGTTGGGGTATGAAGCGGTTGCCACCCACATGCACAGATTTTGCTTTGCCATGCTGAGTTCACCACGTTGAACTTCTAGCCGTTGCCATCCGGGTTTAGCTGATCAAATAGCGGCAGCGTGGAAGCATAAAGACGACAAGATGGAGGAGCTGTTAATGGGTGCGGTTACATGATGGCTTCTCATTCAGAATGAAATAAATCTGAATGAAATCATTTGGAATTAAAGTCTTTCCAGGTACTTTACATGGGACATGCATTCTGAATGAGGGTTTACACGGAGATCAGTTTAATCGCCTTTATTCGGGTCCACGCAAGGTTTGGGGCAGGGAAGGTTTCTGATTGGATAGGGGGCGGATGTTACCTATTTACGTTTACCGGAAGAAAACACTGTAGTCCTCGCTCCGGATAACAAGATGCTTGACGACGCCGTTCTTAGTGCCTTTTCAGGCTTGTTTTGCTTATACAGTCAGGTCCATAATTATTTGGACAATGATACAGTTGTCATCATTTTGGCTCTGTACACCACCACAATGGGTTTTAAATGAAACAATGAATACCTGCTTAAAGTGCAGACTCTCAGCTTTCATTTAAGGCTTTTTTCAAAAATGTAGTATGAACCGTGTAGGACTGACAACCATTTCTTCACACAGTCCCCCGACTTTAAGGGCTCATAAGTATTTGGACAAACTAACATAATCATCAATTAAACAGTCAGTTTTAATACTTGGTTGCAAATCCTTTACAGTCAATGACTGCCTGAAGTGTTGGACACATAGGCATCATCAGATGCTGGGTTTCTTCCCTGGTGATGCTCTGCCAGCCCTTTACTGAAGCCGTCTGCACTTCCTGCTTGTGTTTTGGGTGTTTTGCCCTCAGTTTTGGCTTCAGCAAGAGAAACGCATGCTCAATTGGATTCAGGTCAGATGATATGACTTGGCCATTGCAGAACATTCCACTTCTTTGCCTTAAAAATGTCTTTGGTTGCTTTTGCAATATGCTTCAGGTCAATGTCCAACTGCACTGTGAAGCATCGTCTAATGAGTTTTGAAGCATTTGGTTGAATCTGAGCAGATAATGGTGCCCCAAACACTTCAGCTTTCATCCTGCTGCTCTTGTCAGCAGTCACATCATCAATAAATACAAGAGAACCAGTTCCACTGGCAGCCATACATGGCCATGACATAACAGTACCTCCACCATGCTTCACTGATGAGGTGGTGTGCTTTGGATCATGAGCAGTTCCTTCCCTTCTTCCTTCTCTTGTCTTCCCATCATTCTGGTAGTTGATCTTTGTTTTATCTGTCCATAGTATGCTGTTCCACAACTGTACAGGCTTTTTAGATGGTTTTTGACAAACTCTAATCTGGCCTTCCATTTTTAAGGCTAACCAATGGTTTGCATCTTGTGATAAACCCTCTGTATTTATTCTAGTGAAGTCTTGTCTTGCTTACAAGAGCAGCAGGATGAAAGCTGAAGTGTTTGGGGCACCATTATCTGCTCAGATTCAACCAAATGCTTCAAAACTCATTGGACGATGCTTCACAGTGCAGTTGGACATTGACCTGAAGCATATTGCAAAAGCAACCAAAGACATTTTTAAGGCAAAGAAGTGGAATGTTCTGCAATGGTCAAGTCATATCATCTGACCTGAATCCAATTGAGCATGCGTTTCTCTTGCTGAAGCCAAAACTGAGGGCAAAACACCCAAAACACAAGCAGGAAGTGCAGACGGCTGCAGTAAAGGGCTGGCAGAGCATCACTAGGGAAGAAACCCAGCATCTGATGATGCCTATGTGTCCAACACTTCAGGCAGTCATTGACTGTAAAGGATTTGCAACCAAGTATTAAAACTGACTGTTTAATTGATGATTATGTTAGTTTGTCCAAATACTTATGAGCCCTTAAAGTCGGGGGACTGTGTGAAGAAATGGTTGTAATTCCTACACGGTTCATACTACATTTTTGAAAAAAGCCTTAAATGAAAGCTGAGAGTCTGCACTTTAAGCAGGTATTCATTGTTTCATTTAAAACCCATTGTGGTGGTGTACAGAGCCAAAATGAAGACAACTGTATCATTGTCCAAATAATTATGGACCTGACTGTATTCTTGAAGCAGCAGTACGACAACAACCTTGTTCTGCTAATGCTTCGTCTGTTGAGGAGGAGAAGGGAGGTAGAAGGTTGAAGAAGGGAGGTAGAAGACCGTGCTGTGGCGAATGGAAACCGGTGAGTGCAACGAGTCCGACTGCTCTATCTCAGCCAGTTGCTATGAACACTATAAACGTCATCAAGCCAGAAGGGCAAGGAAAAGAGCATGCACAGAAAGACCGGAATGAACTTAAAGAGGAATGAGTGTATACAAGTGCGAGAAATTCTTTCATTTGGAATTAGAAACGGAATATTCCAGCCCCTTACATCGGATTGAATTTTCAATCGCATTGGCCATTTTCATTCTGAATTAGATGTTTACAAGATCACTTTTAATATAGTCTCTATATACAGACTCTACATTCAGTGAATGTAGAGTCTGTAGGCAAACCCCGGAGATCTTGCCTCCAGAAGAAAAGCGGAAGAGCCCTGGTTTGTTGTTGTTGCAAACTCTGAATCCTTCGCAATGGTTCAGCATATTTACTTATATATAAATGGAAGTCGGAAACGGAAATTCGCCTCCTCCGCCCAAATCAAACCAGAATGCCAAAAAAATCGGGGGTCTGCCCCCAGAGGCTGTATCGCCGTCTGCCGGAAGTCAGATGCCGAATACAGCCGATGGGTTCCGAGAATGCTTTTAATAGGAATGAACTTTCATTCCAGATGGATGAAAAGGGACTTAAACTGTCCATGTAAACACACTCATTGTTCGTGTCTGAATACCCGGAGTTACAGCACTAGCAACTTATAAGGACGACCAGAACAAAAACTGGGCCTGTGATAACATTTCCACCAAACTTTAGATGACTAGTAAACTGTCCAAACATGTAGAGATCTTTGGGAATTTCAGTGAGTTCTGTCGTCTTGCTTCAGTATGCAGCTACAAGCTAGCTTGCACCTCTGCCACTTTTAGGGGGGAATGGTTTTGCAGGTAGGCGGTTGCCAGGGTGGTTACTGTGTGGCAGTGTGAAAGCAGATGTAAGAAGCTGTTAAGAAGAAGAGGATTAACTGTTGCAGCTCTGATGGAAACAGGAGGTGTGATCATGACATGTTCCTGGCAAAGATTATTCAATCTTATTTTTTCATTTTTGTTTTCACACCCAAGCAGTTACCTGTAAGCAGCAGATGAGGAGCGGCATGTGAGCGATGATGACTTTACTAGACGTCTTGGACTGCAGCTTCTCTGATAGTTTGGTGCAAAGGTTCTCAGCTCCTGGTGAGACATTAAAAAACAGAAAGCTTTAATAGAGGTGACATCTGAGACAGGTGACTTCCTGTCTGTATGAGGTGATGTTTCCTCACCTTGCTCCTCAGTCACAGCCCACACCATGAGGTCCACACAGGCAGCGTTGGCCTGGCAGCGCAGTTTGAGCGGGCTCAGTTCACTCTGGAGGTACTCCACATCATGCAGGATCCTCTGCAGCTCTGACTGGCTGCTGCTGAACTGCTCCAGCACAAAGTCATGAACCTCCTTCACGTAGTCTGTCTGAAGGTCTGGAGAACACAGATAAAACATCGTTAATGCCACAGTCATGTTTTGGAAGAAAACTGAATAATATGAAGACAGAGGTGATTCTTTACCTTTCAAATTGTACAGGGTGTCTCTCAGCATCTTAAATATGGCTACATACAGAGGATCACTGAAGGTTTTATAGTAGAGATGAAGACCAGGGTTCAACTGCAAAGACAAAAGAAGACATGTATCAGTGAACCTGGTGGTGTCAAATACAGAGTAGACAAACATCTGTCGTGATTAAGGAGTCATACCTCTAGAAGTTCTGCCAGCGACTCATCCAGTGATTTTAAAAATGTCTCAGAGACAAATTGTTCGACCTGTTTGAGAGAAATAAGTGAATGAATCTGAATGTGGTCTCATTGTGTCTGATCTGATTTATGTAGTCTGCCGCTGTGGCTGCTCACCATGTGAAGGAGCTGTCGGAGCATATCCAGAGGGACGTGAAACTCTCCGGTGCTGCTTCCAGTGAAAAGAGGGGAGACAGAGAAGCTGGAGCTGATGGTGGAGAAGTAGTAGTCAGGGTCCACTGCGCTGCCGTCGGGGAGGTATGAGCCTGGAGGGGAAAGCAGAAGTGTGTAAACCAGGTTCCTCAGCGAGTCACAGATGTCTCCTGACAGGCCAACGGGCTCAGCTGCTCATGCTCAGGTGCTTACCTTCAAAGTAGTGTGCAGAGGGGTCAGCAGGTGAGATGGGGGTCAGACAGGCTCTCTCAGGACTGGCCTGGAAACACAGAAACATTTAAAAGTATATATTCATGACAGGTTGGGTTTGTCAGCTTTTCTTTTTAACTTTTCCCAGATGATCTCTACCTGCTGACTGGACACAGAGGAGCCTTTACGTCTCAGAGTGTCTCCCTGACACACAGTGAGCAAAGAGCTCGGCAGGATGGAGCGGAAGTCATTGAAGGACCGTCGGTGTGCAGCATCAGTTTCCTCAGCTGTAGGCGGCACGGGAGTGACTGGCCGAGGGAACAGCTTGGACAGTAACGGCTCGTCTGTGTTGCTGTAACGACCAAATGCTCGGGCAACACCAAGCAGGGTGGGCACAGTGTACCTGCACAGGTAGTCTGTACAGTCAGTAGAGAAAACATTAATACACAGAGACGTTAGGTAACTTACAAAGCAAGCAGGAGGTGTGTGGTGTTGGTACCTTTATCATGATCCTCCGGAGTCTTGCAGATATCTTGCAGCACCTGCATGATGTCCATGAGCGCCTCCAGGATCTGACAAACATTACATCATCATATACTCCGACAAAACCATCCTTATCAACGGGATAATATAAAGGACAGAATAACATTTTTCCACACTCTTTGATCGCTGTAATTGTTTCTCAAATCGATACTACCACGTCCCAGTTTGTTAACTGATGTTTTGATAAAGTTTAGTTGAAGAATGTTCTCCTTTTTTGGATTCTTCAATCACAGTGGAGGCGTGAACGAAAAAACAAGTTTTCGTCGCAAATTAAAGGTGACACACGGTGAGTAACTGATGTACAAATGGTCATGTTGCAGGTGAAGTATTCTTAAAAATATGATTGTGAATGCAGGACGTTTCCTACTTTTACTAAAGCACCTGAGTAAGAGATTTGAGTACTTCCTCTACCAATATTTATTCCAGCTAAAGAGCTTTGTTGCATTTCATTTGACTGTCTTTTCCCATGTTTCCTGTCTATCTGCACAAAAAAAATGTAACTGCGATAGAAACCGACCTCATTAGACTAAGTTAAACAAATCTTTTTTGCACAAATTTGCAAAGAGACTGTGCCCCATCTCTGACACTGGATCCTGTCTGTAAGGAGTCTCGTCACGGTCAATATAAGGAGGAGAAACAATATCAGCAACTGAAAACACACACACCTGTCCTCGTAAAGTCTCATCACGCTGGGCAACATCTGACAGTAGTGTCACAAGAGAAAAGGTGAAGTTCTCAGCGACAGGAAGGTTCTCTGCAAGACAGGAAGTTTAACACATATTAAAAAACAACACCCTACATTATATTAAAGGGATAGTGCACCCAAAAATGAAAATGCAGCCATTATCTACTCACCCATATGCCGAGGGAGGCTCAGGTGAAGTTTTAGAGTCCTCACATCACTTGCGGAGATCCAAGGGGAGAGGAGGTAGCAACACAACTCCACCTAATGGAGGCTGATGGCGCCCCAGATTCAGACGTCCAAAAACACATAATTGAAACCACAAAATATCTCCATACTGCTCGTCCGTAGTGATCCAAGTGTCCTGAAGCCCCGACATAAAAAGTTGTTTGGAAAAACCTCATTTGAACTCTGTTTTTAGCCTCATTGTAGCCTGTAGCTCTGACTGCCTCTCTGGGCACCGCGCTCACATGAGACCAGCGAAAGCACGTGAACACACGTGAAGGCGGTGCCCATGTCTCACGGTCGGTGTACACAGAGAGGCAGTCAGAGCTACAGGCTACAATGAGGCTAAAAACAGAGTTCAAATGACGTTTTTCCAAACAACTTTTTATGTCGGGGCTTCAGGACACTTGGATCACTACGGACGAGCAGTATGGAGATATTTTGTGGTTTCAATGATGTGTTTTTGGACGTTTGAATCTGGGGCGCCGTCAGCCTCCATTAGGTGGAGTTGTGCTGCTACCTCCTCTCCCCTTGGATCTCTGCAAGTGATGTGAGGACTCTAAAACTTCACCTGAGCCTCCCTCGGCATATGGGTGAGTAGATAATGGCTGGATTTACATTTTTGGGTGCACTATCCCTTTAAGGCATCTATATTTAAAGGGAATGGAATAACATAAGTGAATATTAAGTGGTGATTTTAATATTGTTATTAAATCACAGGTGCGTAGTTACCCCTTCCTTTGCGTTCAGAGCTCTCTTCAATCCACTGAACTTTAGGAAGCCCTTTAAGCAACCCAAGAAGGTATGGGACGATGGTGTCTTTGTGCTGTAACACAGGTAATCCACAGCATGTTATACAGAGTCACCACTGCTGTGTCGACATCCTGTGAATTCACACCAACAGATCATGAAGCAGAGATGTAAATATGTACAATGTTCACCTGCAGGTTTGACTCAACCAGAAAGATCCCCAGTGCAATGACAGCATCTCTCCTCCTCTCATCCAGTTGGAAGACTCCTCTGAAGTCCACGGGACACATGCATTGTAGCTTCTGGACCTGTGAGCGGACGACACACGGAGATCATGGAGCTAATGCTGTTTCTATTGAGATGAAGTGTGAGCTATTTGGATCATACAATCTTTTAAAAGTACTGAATTTACCTGCCCACGGGGCTCAACCAGACACATCGCTCATGTCTGCTTCCATTAGCCGTAATGATTTTGTTGGCCTAAATGTGCTGCAGGAATTGAGCCAAACCAGCCTCTGGCATTAATTAGCCTAATGCTTAAGGGCCAGACTTAAGCTAAGAAAGGGATTTAAACACAGAGAGTGACATCACTAGTTCCTACATGTTTTATCCATTACGAGATGCAGAGGAGCTTTTGAACTGATGATACTGTTGCAGGATGAGGAGCCATAAAGGGAAATTTGTGGAGCATTAACATTGGATTTAAAAAGCTAGAGATCATCTCGACTCTGTTACGTTCGTCCGTGCCAAAACTGTAATAAAATGTTAAAAAGGGATTTGGGCTTTAAGCTGCCAAAGCTCAACCTGTTGTGCTTCGACACCATCTGAGTCTCTAACTGAGCCAGGAAAAATCATTTTAATGAAATAGCTGGAGTTGAACCAATGAGACACTTTTATCACACAAACTGAACGCCAGTAAAATACAACAATATGTTCTTGAGTACCAAAAGCTGCTGTGAAGCCCACTGAAAAGAGGTTAGTGTACAAACAATGAGGCCCAAGTGATGAAGCAGACTCCTGGGGTTTGATGCGCAGAAACTAAACTGTGCAAACTATCATAGGTCTGAAACAACTGGTCCAGCCAAGGGGTCCTTAGGTATTAGTCTGAGGTCCACACAGTGTAATACATTCAGTGTCATACCTGTGTTTGGCCATGTCATTGAGCTAGTTTGCTGTCTCTTTCAGGTAGCTGTCCGTTAGTCACTTCAAAATAAAAGCTCTGTGCTGGAAATTCACTGCACTAAAAAATAAAGTTGTTGTTTGCAAGTCACTTGCGGTCCAGACAGAATGGACCCAAGAGGACTTAGCCTGCTAAAATTAGCCTCTTTCGATTCCTAACTGGAATTATTTGATGTCACCTGACTTTCTGAAGCAACTGCAGTCACATGACACATTGTTTGGGTTAAACATGAGCATGTTACAGTCCTGGAGGATTATTAATGTGCACCTCCTCCTGTACTGCCTTAATATGCACATTCAGCACATCCAATGCATCAAAACATTGTTTTCTAGTTGGAGCCGCGCCTCGTTTTCAAACTGTATGCTTTGACTAAAATGAACAATGACAGCAATATAGTCCACGATGAGCAGCGCTAAAATCAACCTGCGTAGTTGTCCCTCCATTGTGACATTAGAAAGTGTCACATTTATCTTGCAAGTGTACTCTTCTTCAACGTTTGCTTTACTTCCTGGATTTTTCCCACATGGAGATTCTGACCAATCAAGAGCAGCTTTCTCACACAAGGCATTTGATCTGGTCCTCTTGTAAATGCTGCCGTGAGAACACGAACCAACTCTAGGCAATTATACAACTTTGGAACAACATGAGTCCCAGATTCAGACCAAAGGAGACCACTCTGGGGCTGACAGCAGCCTTAAACTGAACCATTCACGGTGCTGGTTCTAAAAATCTGCTTTCATTCTCCTCTGCAGCAGCCGCTCCTCTCATCTATCAATCTGATCTGCTCTGCTCTGATTGGATCGACTGCTCAATTATCAAACTCATTAAGAGTTCTGCCTGTGCTGCATTCAGGGATCCACAAAAACCTTTGTATTTATAGAGGAGACACTCCTAAAATCCAGACTATCCCTTTAAACTGTTCATGTGCAGAGCTTCATAACCAGCACGTTTCAAAAGACCTTACAAAGACATAAAGGAGCAGACACAAAGTCGACACAGTCCAGTTACACAACAGCTCAGTGGGCTGACTGCTCCCTGTATTATTGCCACCACATCTCTTTCATCACAGAATACACTTCCTATTTGTCACAGCTAACAATCCCCCACTGTGAATGTCAGTGGGTGTGTTTTCTGATCACTTCTGTCTGCTCTGCTCTTATGAAGTATTTCAGAGGCTGCCTCGTGGCCCCACTTTAATCCCCGACCACAAATCCTAACCTCCTGAGTCAGATATGTTATGTGGTCACTCCAACTGCATTCTTCCAGTTACAGCAGTTCTTCAATGACATTAACACTGAATTCATTTTAATAAAAACTTGATTGCATCATCTAACAAGTTTGCAAGATTAATCCCATTTCAGGGAGTGTTAAATGTGCATTTTTTGGAGGGACTTACAGTTGGTGTCCTCCCTTTTACATCCTTTAGAGAACCTGTTATGGCTTGTGCCTACTAAATAATAAATCTTTCTCTTTTACTTTGAATTATGAAGCCACTATGAGGTTTACACTTCCTCCTTGTCAAGGCCAGATTGACCTGCAGTGTGCATTCTCAGACCAATAGTAATAAAATCACCAAAAAGCAGCAGACACACAATAAATCACAGACTTGTGTGGCCGGAGCAGCTGATCATGTTGCCTCATTGATGATCCATCCTTGTTGCAACTGTTCACATTTACTATTGATTGCTTGTGCCACACACATCAACTACACGACTCTGTCACTTGAAAATGCTGCAGTTAGTTCATAGATTTATTGATCCACCCCAAATCAATACGCTATAACTTTTTATTTTCCTTTTTTTCTGTTTTTTTCCCCACTCAAGCTAACATTAGCTATCCATCAATAGTAGCATCATTAAACATTTTACCACACTGTCACTGAATATTCACGTACATTTTATCAACCTTTTTTTGGACATTTACTAATATTTTTCTTACATTTTATAAATATTTTTTTCTGACATCAACATTTTTTGGACATTTTATTAACATTTTTTCTGACATTATAATAAAATTTTCAGACATTCTATCAAATATTTTTTGGAAATAATGTCAATTTTTTAGACATGTTATTAATTATTTTTCAGACATTTTACTAATATTTTTTTGTCATTTTAATAATGTTTTTTCTGACATATCAACATTTTTTGGACATTTTATAAACATTCTTTTCTGACATTATAATGCATTTTTCAGACATTTTATTAACATTTTTTTCTGACATTATAATACATTTTTTGGACATTTTATCAGTATTTTTTCGGACATTTTATCAACGTTTTATTTTACACATATTATTAACATTTTTTCGGACATCTTAAAAATATTTTTGGGACATTTTATTAACATTTTTTCTGACATTATAATCAAATTTTTGGACATTTTATCAATTTTTTTTTGGAAATAATGTATTTTTTTTTCAGACATCTTAATAAAATTTTTTAGACATGTTATTAATTTTTTTCGGACATTTTACTAATATTTTTCTGTCATTTTATTAATATTTTTTTCTGACACATTAACAACATTTTTTGGACATTTTCTCAGTATTTTTTTCGGACATTTTTATCAGCGTTTTATTTCTGTGGGAACGCTGTTCATTGTTCACTTTTCTGAGTAAGATTTACCAATTAAATAAAAGCAGCTCTTTGAAATCACAACAACTTAATAACTGTTTTTGTATGAGGAATATTATCAGGATACCAGACTGAGAGACAGTATGTGGTGGAGTCACACTTGATGTTAAACTTACCCTCAGTTTCATAATCAGACATTGGAGTAGGGCTGCATTATGGGGTAATCTACTACTTATTTTAGTAAGTAATCCATTAAATGTTTGGTCTGTTGAGTATTGGAACAGATAACCGTGAAATAACACAATCCTAGGGCCTAAAAAGTGAATTCAATAAATGTCTTGTTCTTTCCAAATAACAATCCAAACCCTGAAATATTCAGTTTAATATTACGTATGACCAAAAAGGAGCAGTATGTTCGAACATCTGAAGACCTGTTTTTAAAGTTTCTGGCTACAATGAATTGTAGGGATGCATGATAAGGTAGTAAGTACTGTATTTCATGTCTCCATCTCATGGTGCGCCGTCGCGATAAAAGCATACATGTATAATATCATGTTAATTCCACAGAAGAGACTTGATGATTGCTAAAATAACTCATGATTGCCAAATGAGTTAAATTTCAATATCTTGCACCCCTACTAAATAGTGTAATGTTGCCATGCCTTCCAACCCTGCATATTGTCTTTAAAGATCTGCAGTAAAATAAATACAAATACAACAATTTACATGGATGCGCCCCTCCCCTGAGCCAAAATAAATAAATAAGCCCCTTCCCAGTGTTTAAAGAATCACATGCCTCCCACTGTTTGCACCACCCCTCCCCCCTTATAAATAACGAACACTCCCTGATGGATGTAACGTTTAAATTAAATGATATAAGATCGTTGCTTTTCTTTGACATCTGACAGTTGCTTTTTCATTTCTGGGTCATTGTACAGAATAAAACAGTGTGAAGATCTAAGTTATCCAACTTGTTCCTGTGAAAATGGAGAGAGGACATCACAGTTTCCTGTTCCTCCCTGTGTGAATGACAGCTGCATTCATATTAATAACTGAACATTAACCCCAAAGGGAAAACTGTACACATCTGGAACATTTAAACTTCGCTTCCTTTCACACATCAGGTCTTTAACTGAGGAGAAGATTAGCTACAGGTTCAAAACAGCTAACGTTAGCCGCCGCTAGCCCCCTCAGAAGTCAGTTACAAACGCTGCTGTGTCGCCATTACATTCCAAAATGACACCGTGATTCATGTGTCGGTAAAGTGTCAGACATGTTGGCTGTGTTTGTAGGAACATAACACAGACCACACAGGTGAGGAGGCGAAGTTAAGGACGGGCCTTTAATGTCACAGACTCTTTGACAGGTATTAGCTTGTTACCGTCGTTAGCCTCAGTAACGGATAACGTTACCTTTTCTATGGGCGCCTGCCGGTGAGCTGCCAGGGAGCGGGCCAGAGACAAGACGGTGTTGAAGTAAAATCCTCTGCTTCCCCCTCCATTAAGAGACATGTTTAAAGGTGCCCTACTGCTGCCACACCGACACAGACATCTTCTTTCATTCGCCCCGAGGAGTACGAGTCCCGACTGACAACTACGGCAAGCGCGAGGTGGTGAGAAAACGCGAAGCAAGGTCACAGTGCAAAGATGCGAAGTCCTTTAGGTTACAGAGGTAACCCCGGTTCTCTGCTTTAGGTTACAGAGGTAACCTTCTCATCGTGAGATACCGAGCGACTGTTTGTGAGAGAAACAGGAGCACATTTTAAAACGTAATTACTCAACATACTGCCAGGTAGCCTAACCTGTAATAATAATACATCAAAATGTATTTGTTGATTAATTTTTGTTTAAAAAATGTAAATCCACACAGTAACTTCAGTTTTAAAATAAATGTAATGGAGTAAAAAGTACAACATTTGCCTCAGTGATGTAGTGGAGTAGAAGTATATAGTAGCGTAAAATGCAAAAAGTCAAGTATAAGCATTACAATATACTTTAGGTACCAAAAGTAAAAGTACTCATGCAGAATGACTCCTTTCTAAGTTGCATGTATTATATGTTATTGATATATATATATATATATATATATACACACACACACATATATATATAAAACAATATATTAAATATTTTATATACTTTATTCATAAATCATAATTATAATATTACTTTCATTAATGTTGTTGTAAGCTATTAACATTATTGTCTGTCCTGCATCTGTCTCTGTCTCCCCTTCTGTCTCAATGTGTCATACGGATTACTGTTAATTTATTATGCTGATCTGTTCTGTACGACATCTATTGCACGTCTGTCCGTCCTGGAAGAGGGATCCCTCCTCAGTTGCTCTTCCTGAGGTTTCTACCATTTTGTTTTCCCCGTTAAAGGGTTTTTTTGGGGAGTTTTTCCTGATCAGCTGTGAGGGTCATAAGGACAGAGGGATGTCGTATGCTGTAAAGCCCTGTGAGGCAAACTGTGATTTGTGATATTGGGCTTTATAAATAAAATTGATTGATTGATTATTAATCCCCCTGAGGGGGAATTAATGTGTTCATCGCTTTAATGTTGCAGCTGGTAATGGTGGGGCTAATTTTAATTACTTAACATACTGCCAGGTAACTTAACCTATATATAGTACATTGGAATTTATTTATTTATTATATTTTGTATTGATATAATGAATCCGCAAAGTAACTTGAGTTTTAAAATAAATTTTATAGAGTAAAAAGTACAATATTTGCCTTTGAGATGTACTGGAGATGGAAATGGAAAAAGTCAAGTATCAGCATGAAAACATACTTACAGTACTAAAAACAAACACTCTTATGCACTCATGCCCATTTCAAAGTCATGCTATCGATGCATTAATGTGTTCATCACTTTAATATTGCAAAAGAAAGAAGGGGAAAAAAAACAAATTACATGTAATTGCAATCAATTACAGTTACTGAGAAAAAAATATGTAATTAAATTAGTAACTAATCAAAATGTTGGCGATTACAAAGCCTTTACTTCTGAATATATTCTTGGTAAAAAGTTTAAATGTAGAGGAGAACATGCAGTCTGCTGTGCATCTTTTCACTGTGCAGGAACAGCTTCTTTTGGGATATTTCCGGACAACGCAAAGCCGTTGGGACAAATTTGAGCACAACACTTTTGCACTTACGACTTTTTGAAATTGGCTAGTTTAAAACATTTGTTAGAAAAGTAATCTAAAAGTCATCAAATGTAATAAGGTGAGGTACTTACAACAGTTATATTACTTTACATTACATTTTACAATTTTAACAGTGTGATTAGTAACCTGTAATCTATTAAATTTCAAAAGTAACCCTCTGAGCACTGTATTAGTATTATTATTATTATAGGTTGTATGATGAGAACTTACAGGCTCCACCTTTACCTGCTGCAACATTTAAGAGACACATACATTAATGCATCAGTAACTATGTTCTGATCATATATATTATTCAGAAACAGGTCATTCGGCATTATGAGTACTTAAAGTATATCTTGCTGCTGATACTTCTGTACTTCCACTTTAGATTTGAATGCAGGATTTTCTTTGTTAAAAAGTATTTCTACACTGTGGTATTACTACTCCCATCACTGCTGTGAACAAAAAATCCTTATAAAATGATACCAGGCAGGATGACAGTTGAAATAAACACGACAACATTAACAGTCTGATCCAACATTTATTTGTCAGCATCCATGTTAGAATTAATTAGACTGAAGGCACAATACTCGGTTTTACTACTGGAATTTTTTCAAGTCTTAACATTTAAGAAAAAGCTCTTTAAATAGCTATGACACAGAGTCCACATGTATGCAAACTGGAGCTAAAAAAGAAAACAGTTGTAAAAACAGTTAATTGCATTGCATGTGAATATGTCAGACTCACAAGCTACAAACTCCAGTCTAAAACATGGCATTATATATAAGTATATGAGCAGCAGTTGGCATATTCTGTCATACATTTGTGTAAAAAGTAAAAGGCAATTAACGTGGTTAAAAATTAAAAACGGAATCTGCAATAAAAGCTATCCTAAACCACTCTGGAATGAGATGGAAGGCACTGTTAATGGCACTTCTCTAACAGTCTATGCAATAATGGCAATATGAATTTTAAAAGCAAAAACTTCATCAATAATTACAATGAATTTAGAGGGTATGAACATCACAGGAATACTTCAGAAACTACCTGGAATTAAACATCTGGCACTGCTGCAGCGTGTGCAACAGAGCTTATTATCACAAAACAATCTGTAGTGACTGAGCACACACAACATTCAATCATTCTTAATCTCAAAATGAATCTCACAATACATAGGCACTTTTTTGTAGCATCAATCTAGCTAATTGATCTAAAACATCTCTGCAACTTAGCACTGTTTTGTGGAAAATGTGCGTTTCTATAGAAGTCGTGTGACATAATTAAAAGCTGCCTCTCTGGATCTACAAGGACCTACAATCTGGATTCATCTGGAAATTGTGATTTAAGGCATTTAGTTGTGAATGTACCTGTAGCCCCTGCGGCATGTGACATGTTAACATAAATGATCTCATCAGAAAATTAAAGAAATAATACTTTTGAAAAGTCTAATAGAGAAACATCTACACATTTGCATAAAGAGGGCTTTACAATGTTCGATCTGTGGTATATTCTCTCATTTCAAGTATGATTTCCTTGCCTGCAGCATCTTAATCACATTAAGTTGGGTCGGGCATTGGTTTTTCTTTGATTAAGTTCATAAAGCATCAGTATAACTGAACTCAAAGCACTGTGGTTGTCTGTGCTGTTGGCTGGCGTTCCCAAATCTCAAGTCAATCGAATCTAAATAAATGCCCCGTTCCTTTCCCTGACCTCGTAAGGAACTTCCCCCCTTCTGGAATTTAAGAAAAACAGCAAGCAGTGACTGCAGTCTGAAGCCTTTTTTCATGCAGATCATGCTTCCACTTGTCATAGCGGTGTTATAAATAAAATCAAGAACATACCAATCCCTTTCTTTCTCTCTGAAAATCACTTAGAGGTAGATATTAGAACCTAGACGCAGGGTTTAAGGAGACTGGTTTGGGACTTGGCCTGGTTAGTAATGTGATTGGCCTGTCCTAACACTCCTGCTTGTTGAGTTGCACCGTCGGGGGGGTCCTTTTCAGTCTGTCTTCCAAACAATGTTTAAGACCTTCACAACTTCGTCGTAGATTATGAAGACTAAGGCCACGTCCATACACACCCGACCCAGCCGGGGCACAGTACCTTTGTAGAACCTGAAGGACAAAAGAAAGAGTGAATATGCTACTTCAGGGCATTAAAAGATGCACCTAAAAGGTTTCAAATACATAAGTCACTTGGAAAGGTTATTTAGAAATGGATTATCATGAAAACTTGTTCGCCTTTTTACACAAAACACCACTATACTAATACTAATGACAACATTATCTTTAAAATCCAAAATGGTGGATTAAACTACAGTCCCACTAAAAACATGTACTACAGGCCTTAATATTTATACATCAGCATGGTGCTGAGAAAAACACTTCTTGTGAACTACATGATCAAGTGAAGGGACAACATAAGGGGTCCCAGGATGGTGCCTTGAGGTATTCCACAACAGTGGTGCCCTGAGAACTGACTTCTTGGCAGAGTGGAGAAGAATGTAAAACAACTTCTATTCTAAGGATACTAAACTTTGGCCAGGCAGGGTACGTCTGCACCAACTTAAGAACTCTTTGTATAAAGAAATGAGATATTTCTTTTCCATATTTCTTAAATTTTGCACATAACCAGCAGTGATTGTGTATTGAGTTCTGAGTATTGCCACACTCAAGTGACGTACACTCCTTACTGTTTCTGAATCAGTTTGATAGTTGCCGATACTATTCTCTCTCCCGCCTTCAACTCAAACCACCAAAATATATCATTTAGTCATTACATTCATATCAGAAACATACTAGTCGACTAATGGAGCAAAATGATTGGTCGCCAAGGAAAATTCTTAGTCAGGGGCAGCCCTAGGTTACACACAGTTAAAATTATTGCAGAATTATTGTGTAAACAGGAGCGTAGATTCTGTAAAGATATGAGGCAAACTCCAAACTGTCCACAAAAACAGCTCAAAATATACAAACTCTTTGTACCGTCAGTCAACTATGTCTATGAACTTACGCTTTTACTCCTTCATACTTCATGATCTTGATGGCACAGTCCACTGTGCCTTTGTACTTGTGAGCTTCCAGACCCTGTTGAGTATAACGTTACTTGTTAGTCACTTTGCTCAGGGTTAAATTATGAGATTCAAACAGGTGAACATGTGATTAAACCAACCTGCATTCTGGTCTTAATGACATCCAGGGGAGTGTTCCCAAACACACTGGCAGCACCAGCAACAGCTCCAAACATACCAGTCACCAGGGGGTTAATTTTTTTGTTGGGGTCATCACCTTAGTGTTTCAGAAACAGAGGATGAAGGCTTTGGCTGCATTTTCATTTTATATGTGGTGATTATAGAGACATGGAATTTATTCGCTCACACACCTCTGTACCAGTTCCTCAGGGAAGTCATGACGTAGAAGCGGATGGCCTGGTTGGAGCCTTGTTTCAACACGGTGGCTGTGAGACCTTGGTACGTCCCCTTCAGTCCTGCAGACACATCAGCATTATTAGATCAAAGTCTCATAGCTCTCCAGTTCAGAAGCTAATGAGGCTAAGAATATAATCTTATAAATAATAGATGTGATGACTCAAGTACAGAAGAAGGGAATCATCATGTGGTGGAGCTGGAACAGTAGGGAGCAGTAAAACGCAACAGAGCCTGCAGAAATGCGGAAACCCTCCTTTACCTTGGGATCTAATAATCTCCCTCACTCCATGGAAAAAGCCCTTGTACTTTGGGTTTGCTGATGTCTGATCATGGATGAATTTGACCTGAAATGATATCATAACAATGATTAATAAATTTGTCAAAGCAAAGAGACAAAGGATCAGAACATTAATGCGTGTAGAAGCATTTTAAATCTGAGACATGCAGGGTTCTGCAAACAGTAATGCTGTAATAAGTGAAACAGCATTAGAGATGGATGAGTGAAAATGAGAGGAAACTGTTCAGGTAACAAGTGTTTTTTGTCCTGGTGTCATGGAGGTTGATTCTTGATTGCCCATTTACAAAAATCATCAAAGACAGGTTGTCGAGACTTCTCACTGGACACACAAAGAGCATCTTCTGTTATGCAGGAAACATTTTGTCATTTTGTTTTCAATAAAGTTCTTTAACTTGAGCTGAACTGAATCGTCCCATCTGATGGTGTTGGTCACGGTGGTGCCATAGGATGCTGTAGGAAGTCAGTGGTGCTAAAGTACTTTTTAAAGTACCTTTATTTCAGTCAAAGTACCAGCAAACCTAATTAAAATCCAGGTTTCAAGTTCTTTAATGTCATGAACACAAGATCTCAGGCTCCCTCCAATAATAATGCTCATTAAGGCCCTGATCACACAGAAAGCGTTTTAGCAGCTGATGGCGTCTTTTTGGAGGAGAAGCTCCTGGACCAACTGGTGGTACTCCCCATGATCCAGCCTCTTTTTTAGGGTCTCATGTACCCACACAGATCTCTGTTTATCTGCTGACAGCCTCTCACCCTCAACCAGAGCTACAGACAGCACCCTCTGCCTCAACATGGCAGCAGCTACACACTCATTACTGTCCAAACAAACCAAAACGGTAGATTGATTACACAGGAAGGTTAGGGTAAGGAGGTGATGGCATGGTTGCCTGGCAACAATAGAAAGGTGCAGGGAGTGTTTTTTGTTTTTGTTTTTACCAGTGGCATTCCATTGAAAAAGAAGAAGGCAGTGCAGTACGCCTCATGTTTTGCAACCTGCAAAACACTTTCTGTGTGATCATGTTCTCAAGGAGTATCAAAGAAAATCAAGCAAGTAAAACAAAATGAGTATCTGAGACACAAAATAGTGCAGAATACATACAACATATACAATTAAAATTAAATAATATAAACATATATATACACAACGCTATACTATGTATACTACTGCATTAAATATCCTACCTCAGTATTATAAGTGAAATGTACTCATGTAAGAGTAAAAGTACTTGCCCTGCAGACAAATGTCTCCTGTAACTGATATATTTCTATATGCACTCACCAGCCACTTTATTAGGAACACCTGTTCAACTGCTTATTAATGCAAATAACTAATCAGCCAATCAGGTGTCAGCAGCTCAATACATTTAGTCACGTAGACATGGTGAAGACGAGCTGCTGAAGTTCAAACGGAGCATCAGAATGATGAAGAAAGGTGATTGAAGTGACTTTGAACGTGGCATGGTTGTTGGTGCCAGACGGGCTGGTCTGAGGATTTACTGGGATTTTCAGCACAACCATCTCTAGGGTTTACAGAGGATGGTCCCAAAAAGAGCAAATATCCAGTGAGCCAAAATGCCTTGTTGATGCCAGAGGTCAGAGGAGAATGGCCAGACTGGTTCAAGATGATAGAAAGGCAACAGGAAGTCAAATAAGCACTGGTTCCAACCAAGGTGTGCAGAAGAGCATCTCTGAAGCAACAACACCTTGTCCAACCTTGAAGCAGATGGGCTACAGCAGCAGAAGACCACACCAGGTGCCACTCCTGTCAGCTAACAACAGGAAACTGAGGCTACAATTCACACGGGTTTTCTCACCAAAACTGGACAATAGAAGATTGGAAAAACGTTGCCTGGTCGGATGAATCTGGGTTTCTGGTAAGTAGGCTACAGTAAAGTGCTGGTTATGTCGGCACAGATTAGGCACATGAGTAGCCAACGCCCAACCTTGCGTTTTTGAGGCAGTAAAAGACACAGCATGTCTCCCTTATTGGTCACATCAGTGTTGTGTTTGCAGCTTGTTACGCTGCCTCCTAGTGGCCAAATAATTAATTAATACATGTTTAATAATGTGATTTTTTTTACCTTTACTGTCTCCATAGGACACACTACAAACACAGCCTCTGCAACTCCAGCTCCGAGGCCGCAGAGGAATCCCGTCATGCCGTCTAGTTTTCCATTTTCATCACGCACCTTGTTACTGAGGAACTCAAACACCCCGAATCTGTGAAGTGAAATAAGTGAATGGGGAATCAAAAAAAGATCAGTGACTCAAAATGTAAAATAATCTGTCGCACTCTCTAATAAAGCAGCTTTTATACAGGATCAATGAATGTAGTGGTTTTAAAGAAAGAAGAAGATGATAATATACTTTAATAATCCCTGAGGGGAAATTAATTTTTTTCACTCTGTTGTCATACACACACACACACACACAGGCCAGAATGGATGTATTTTGCATCTGTGCTCCTGCTCCTACACAATTTCAACTACGGGATCAAAAAGGGTAAGGCACGTAGTTAGTTACACACAGGGTATGATAATCTAGCTATGTTTTCCACTGCATCTTTCTAGTGTAGGCCCATCGCTCAATTTAACAGGTTAGGTTGTAACAGGTTGTAACAACGTTAGCTGACAAACGTGTATGGGCATGATTTTATTGATAAAAAAAAAAAAAAAATACCACAAAAAACAGAAAA